GCATTAAAAAAATGCATGTTTATAAGTAAATATATATATATTTAAAAATCACAATATTTTGTGCAAATCTAGGTTTAAAGGGAGCCTAACTGAGAAACCCTGGGATAGAAGGCTAGCAATGATTTCATGACACGTTGCCTAGCTGTGAGCTTTTCTATTATGACATGACGTTTTTTCACTTTTTGGGCACATGTTCTCTATGAGGTGTCATATTCATATTCATGCTTTTAGATTGGCATGGTACAAAGGATCCTGCCAGACGTATGAAGTCCGGTATTGTGACTGGATGACTTTCTCTGATTCCATTCTTGGAGATTTCCGGTGGTCTTCCTGGTCCCAACCAGTCTGAATTCTCCCTTGCTTCTGAAATCGGAGGTTTATATAGAGGAGCATGGTGGTATTTTGTCCCTATTCCATTATGTCTTATTTCATGCCAGTGCTGTGTGACCTACGTGCGAAACATTCCTTGTTTACATGCTTCTCAGCAGTCACATGTCATCAAGTTGTGATTCTGCAAACAATCCAGCCATGAACAGTTTCACTTCTGACTTTTCTGTGGTTGCTGAGCATAGGCCGGAGATAAACTGAAGGAAGGGACAGATTGACCGAGCCTGACAGAATTAAAATCATATTTATGAGATGACATTGTTATGGTTCTTATTGCCAGTGTCTGGAAACACCTATATGCTGTTGACCTGTTTGGGAAAAATCACTGAGTTATAAAACAGAGACCCAGAATCACATTGTCTTCCAGGCTTTACTATTAGTGATCATAGCATGTATGAGTTCCTGGGCAGTTATGCTTATATACCGCAGGATAATGTTTCAAAAGAGTTACATTCTTTTTTGTGGGAGCTTCTCTTTTGTTGCAGTTTGACAGTAGAACCATACATGGTTGTCTTAGGCTGCGTCTACACATAGAATTAATGTAGTTTGACACCGCTACTATGGTGAATGCTATGGAATCCTGTTATTTATGGTTTGGAGAGACACCAGCACTTTTTGACAGAGAAGGCTAAATATTGTTGTTAATCTATTCAGTGATTTCTGACTCTTCCAGACCTCACTGATCAGTCCATGCCAGAGCTCCCTGTCAGCTGTTGCTACCCCCAGCTCTTTGAAGATCAAGCCAGTCACCTCAAGGATAACATCCATCCATCTTGCCCTTGGTCGGCCCCTGTTCCTTTTTTGCCCAGCATCATTATATTCTCCAAGCTATCCTGTCTTCTCATTATGTGGCCAAAGTATTTCATCTTTGCATCTAGTTGAGTCGCCTGTGGGCTGAGAAAGGCAGTATACAAATACAGTAACTAAGTAAATAAATAAATAAGTAACTTTCCCTCCAGTGAGCAGTCGGGCATTATGTCCTGGAGTATGGATTGGTTTGATCTTCTTGTGGTCCAAAGCATTCTCAGAATTTTCCTCCAACACCACAGTTCAAAAGTTTCTATCTTCCTTCACTCTGCCTTCCTTATGGTCCAGCTCTTGCACTTACTACGGAAATACCACTGTTTTACGTATGCGGCACTTCGTTGCCAGTGTGATGTCTCTACTCTTTACTATCTTAACAAGATTGGTTATTGCTGTCCTCCCAAGAAGTAAGCGTCTTCTGATTTCCTGGCTGCAGCCTGTGTCTGTAGTAATCTTCGCGCCTAGAAATATGAAGTCAGTTACTGCCTCCGCATTTTCTCCCTCTATTTGCCAGTTATCAATCAGTCTGGTTGCCATCATCTTTTTTTTTTTGATGTTAAATTGCAACCCAACTTTTGCTCTTTTCTCGTTCACCTTGGTTACAAGGCTCCTCAGCTCCTCCTTGCTTTATTTATTTATTTATCTATCATATTTCTATCCTGCTTTTCTTGAACCTGAAGGTGACTCAAGGCGGCTTAAAGCCAGGCAGCCATTTGATGGCTTAACAATATACACTTAAAACCACATTTAAAACAGAATTAAAAAGTACATCAATAAGACTTAACAAATTTCAGCTGTCAAAGTGGTATCATCTGCATATCTATGGTTGTTAATTATTCTTCCAGCAATTTTAACTCCTGCCTTGAATTCGTCAAGCTCCGCTCGTCACATTATGTGTTCTGTGTACAAGTTGAATAGGTCGGGTGAGAGTATACAGCTTTTCTGTACTCCTTTCCCAATCTTGAACCCGTCTGTTTTTCCATGGTCTGTTCTTACTGTTTCTACTTGGTCATTATACAGATTCCTCAGGAGACAGAAGGTTAAATACCTTTTAAAAATACACCTCTCAGAATTCCATAGCATTTGGTTGTGCCATTTAACTGGTGTCAAATTGCATTAATTCTGCAGTGTAGGTGTACCCTAAGAAGTGTGTTTTTCTTCTGTGTAAGTGAACAAATGATGGCAGTCTGAGCCTGAGTCTGAGCTAATGGAGGGCAGCTTGGCAAGAGGCCTCTACCCCATTCATTATCATTGTTATTGTCATTTTTGATTGGCAGCCAGTCCGTCCTTAATTGCACTAAACAATTTGTTACGTTTGCAGACAATGTTTAGTTTTGAATTCATGTAAAATATACATGAATAAGCGAACCAAGAAATGGGCAACATGCTCAGCTGTTTTGTTTTGTGAAGTTAAGCGCTACTTTATTTAAGCTAATTTTATCCCACTGCTCAGCTGAAAAGAGTCCTAGCTTACAAACATCAGAAGTAAGCAACAGATTTATTTATTTATTTATTTATTTATTTATTTCTGTGCTTATATACCGCCGTTTCTCAGCCTAAATCGGCGACTCAACGCGGTTTACAACACAACGACAAGTAGCAATATTCCATTAAAAAAGCATAAAAACGCATATGAATTTTATTTGTGTTGTCTGACACTATAGAAAAATGTATCATTGCATGTACATTTTATAATCTGGTTTTTAAAACACTGTAGGTTAAAAGGGAATTGAAAGTTAATGGGAACATTCAGCCTCATAAAATTGAAGCGGTGACCTTTTGGATTTATACAACAATGCCTTTATTATAAAAGAAATGTGTGCCAATCGTATCTTCTTTCAGTATCGTGCCTTCAATCTAGGACCATGTACAGGCGTCATCCACTGATCCATATGGGTGACCTTACATTTGCACTACACCTACTAATTACCCAAATCCTATAATTGGCTTAGAGACTGTACTGTAATGATAAAGTGTTGCGTTTCTGTATGTATGAACTTTAAAAAAAAAAAAGCTGCAAGGAAAAATACAGTTTCATTTTCCTTTTGCATTTCAAAACTCCCAATTTTTTGCATTTCAAAAGGAGACAATCCAATTTTAAAGTGGTTTGAGGGATCAAAAATGCCCTGAAACACTAAAACTCTCCAAATACCACTTACCTGCCAAAGATTTGGAATTACTGTCCAAAAATAGTACCTTTTCTGCCTCCTGCATTTCCCAAAGTAATGAGTACTCAGTCTCACCAGTCCTGCTCCAAAATATCAATGTTATTATTACGATCCCAAGTAATGTCTACTCCAGAGTTAAATGGTCACTTTAGTAATGTGCCATTGGAAAACAGACTATGTACAAGGTGAGGCAGCATAACTTCCTTTTTTAAAAATGTGTGCCATTCAGTCGGTTGAAAACGTAGCTTTTTGAGCGGATCTCATTCGAGAGGCGGGAGTATAAAGTTTTGTCCTGACACAGTTCAGTCGCCATCATGCGTTGGAACAGTGAGGAGCGTGCTTTTGCCGTTGAGGCCTACTTTTCGAGCGGATTTGGAGTGGCCGGCCCGCTCTCCAGATTTGGCCCCTTGTGATTTTTTTCTATGGGGTTTTTTGAAATCCCGTGTTTATGTGAACCGTCCAAGGACCCTACAAGATTTGAAGACCAACATCCAGGAAGAAATTGCCAACATAACGCCTGCTATGCTGGCAAGAGTCATGACAAATGCCAGAAATCAGTTTACTCAGTGTATGGAGAATGGGGGACGTCACCTACCTAATTTGATCTTCAAAACTACGTAAAACAAAACTTTAGGTATGCGCCTACATTATTAAAAAAAATCAAAAAAATCTGATTCATACAATGGGTTTTATTAAGTTTTGAAAAAAGGAAGTTATGCTGCCTCACCCTGTATTTGTAGCTAATATCGGGTGGAAGACATTGTGCCTTATATGTAAAATTGTCCTTTGTATAGTGACTTCAGAGAAAGATTTCTGTAGCCCTTGCTGACAAATGAAAATGGGAACTCTGTTGTAGAATCAGTTCCGTTTTTGTTGAGTGACACCAATGAATATCTCACACATGAAGTGGCCCTTTTTGCTTTGGCTGCAAAAAAAATATTACAAAGAGAGAGCTAGAAAAAATTGCCTTGGAAACTCAAAATACTAATTTGATTTTTTGCAAAATGTGTTTGGAATTATCTGTAATTTACAATGTTTTAATACTTTGTGTGTCTTCTCTTCCATATTTACTCTGAACACTGTCCTGGACATTTTACTCCTTTTTTGGCATGGCTTTGTGCTAGTACAATAAACATATTGATTGATATGATTTACTCTTCCCTGCATCCCAAGAACATTGTTGCTGGACACCATACAACTTGGAGATGGAGAGTGCTGAAATGTAAATATTTTCCTCCACTTGGTATATGCCAGGCATGGGCAAACTTTGGCCCTCCAGGTGTTTTGGACTTCAACCCCCACAATTCCTAATAGCCTCAAGCCTTTCCTTTCCCCCCTCAGCTGCTTAAGCTGAATTGTGGGAGTTGACATCCAAAACACCTTGAGAACCCATGCCTGGTATATACCGAGTCACATCTGTGGGACATCTGTGACTGGTCCCACTGTGCCTGGCCATGCCTTTTGCTTGAACACCCATAATGGGGTTTGGCAAAGATCCTCGGGATCTCAACAGGGAGAACTTTCCCATCTTGGTTCTCTGGGTGTTCTTGAGTAACTTTTGGATGCTTTAAACTGTGGAACATGTATGAAAATCTAGAAAACAAATTAATTTGTAAATATAAACTCCTTTCTTTTCTGTAGATTTCCAGATGCTGCAAAGATACCTGGTCGCCACTGCTAACCAAATGATCACCTACAACATGAACATTACCTTTCAAAGAAGTTGAACAGCACAGACCCTCATTGGCACTTTTATTTGTTGACAATGGCAGGAAATAGTGGAGAAAGTCAGCTGCAGAGGATTATCCGAGATTTACAGGGTAAAAAGACTGCTTAACTCATTCTTGGTGTCCTGATGCGTTCTTCATGCTTTTATCAATTACATTATTCACATTGTTCCTCTTTTAGCCTTTCACAAACAGTACTTTATATTCTTTTTTTCAAAGATGCCGTCACAGAATTGAACAAAGAATTTACAGAAGCTGGGGAACCAATCACAGATGACTGTGTCAGTTTGCACAAATTTTCCTACAAGCTTGAATATCTTTTGCAGGTAATCAAAAACTAGTATTTACAATTGAATTATGTTTCTTGAGCCTGGTTATCTTTACTGCTTGACATAACTAAAGGTAAAGGTCTTCCCCTAACATTAAATCTAGTTGTGTCCGTCTCTCATCTCCATTTCTAAGCCAAAGAGCCGGCGTTGTCTATAGATGCCTCCAAGGTCATGTGGCCAGCATGAAAGCATGGAGCGCCGGAGTACAGCATATACAAGGCAAACATTCAATGCCGGGCCACAGATTCACATACAATACATAAACATTAAAAAACATTTATCAGAATATTAAAATACACCATTTAAAACTGTCCTAGTCATTTCCTATTGCTGCTTTATTGCCCTGTCCTGAAAGCTTGGTCCTACAGCCAAGTTTTTACCATCCTTCTAAAGGACCGGAGAGAGGGGGCCGATCTGATCTCACCAGGAAGGGAGTTCCATAGCTGGGGAGCAATCACCGAGAAGGCCCTGTCTCTCGTCCCCAGTAATCGTGCCTGTGACAATGATGGGACGGAAAGCAGGGCCTCCACGGAGGATCTTAATCTCCATAATGGTTCATAGAGGGAGATGCGTTCGGACAGGTAATTTGGGCCAGGGCCGTTTAGGGCTTTATAGGCCAAAGCCAGCACTTTGAATTGTGCCCTGTAGCAAACTGGCAGACAGTGGAGCTGACGTAACATGGGAGTTGTATGCTCCCTGTATGCTGCCCCAGTTATTAACCTGGCTGCCTCTCGTTGGACTATTTGAAGCTTCCGAGCAATCTTCAAAGGCAACCCCCCGTAGAGAGCGTTGCAGTAGTCTATCGTAGATGTAACGAGAGCGTGGACCACCGTGGCCACCATGTTGTTAATATATATTATTAATAACAATGATAATTTTATATAATAATATCTAATAATTTTAATATATTATATTAATAATTAATTCTATTAATTAATTATTAAAGTTCTTTTAAAATGCTGTCACAGCCAAAGAACATTTTATTGAAATAGGAATATTGTGTAGCTTGAATGTGAAAGTGGATCATTTTTATCATAGACATATAGTAAATGCTGTAGCAGATTTCTAAAAACAAACAATTTACAGGGATTCGTCCCCATTCTGTCTTTTTGCTTTGTATTGTGATGAAGAGATTGAAATGGAAATGGTACAGATTCAGATCTCAAGGACTCTCAACAAGTATTGTGTAATACACCAAATGTTTAGGTTTGTACAGGGTGGGTCAATGTTCGTAAAGGGGTTTCAATACTTAGTAATTCGTTTATTTTTTGTTTTTAATTTACAATACACCGTATATAGGAAATAAAATTATATTACATGACATATAAAACTTTTTCAAAACCCATTTTTGTCAGAAAGTTATTAAAACATCAGACTTCTTTGTGACATCAGACCCCCACCCCGTACAGGTAAAACCAGTCTGTAGAATGGAGTGCTGTTCAAGTCAAGTGAATGAAATGGACTTTAGGCCAAATACTTTGTTTTATTTGCTCTGCAGATCATTTTTAGGCGTTACTTGGTTGTATACTGGTGGCAATAAATTCATCTAATAATCGCTTCTCGGCCTTTTGGCTAAGATCAAGTGTAATAATTTGTAGTCTTATCAGTGCAATAATCCTCATTGCTTTGGGACGATGTCACTCTCTTCTTTCATGTTTTTGGTTGCTGGCTTCAGGTTAACACTTTTTCCTTTTCTATTCCTCAGTTTGACCAGAAGGAAAAGTCCAGTTTACTGGGTAACCGGAAAGACTACTGGGATTACTTCTGCGATTGTCTGTCTAAGGTTAAAGGGGCAAATGATGGAATTCGCTTTGTGAAGTCTATTTCAGAAGTAAGTGAAAGCACATCTCTTTGCTATTTCAGTCATGTGCTATAACATTCTGATAGTCTGGATTCAGGATGTCAGTGATAATAGTACAGAAGTCTCATGCACCAAAAACCGTGTTAGTTGGACTGTGTTGCTGTCCCTACTATTAGGTGGAATTAGATGGTTGCCTCAGACATCAACTGCTGAGAGGGTGTAACAAGTTGTTGGAGCAAGAGCTCTGCACTCTGTATGTTAACATACTTCATTCATATGTGATACAGAAAGTTCTACCATTGCCAGTGTTGAAACAATATGAATTTGCAATTCCACCAGCTTTTCTTTGTGAGTTGAATCAGGCTCCATCTTGATCTTTGGTTTAGAAAAATGTTTTGTACTGACTCTACTCCTTCCTTATGTGAATCCCTCAATTTCTACCAAAAAAAAAAAAAAATCAACTCCCATCATTATGTTGTCAAAGTCTTTCATGGCGAGAATCACTGGGTTGCTGTGAGTTTTCCGGGATGTATGGCCATATTCTAGAAGCATTCTATTCTGACATTTCACCCACATCTACGACAGGCATCCTCAGAGGTTGTGAGGTCTGTTAGAACATCATTACATCAGATGTGGGGTGCCCAGGTAACTACGTCTTTGATAGTTAATGAACAAAGCATATCACTACCTCTGAAGATGCTTGCCATAGATGCAGACGAAACGTCAGGAGGGAATTCCTCTAGACCAGTGGTTCTCAACCTGGGGTCCCCAGATGTTTTTGGCCTTCAACTCCCAGAAATCCTAACAGCTGGTAAACTGGCTAGGATTTCTGGGAGTTGTAGGCCAAAACACCTGGGGACCCACAGGTCGAGAACCACTGTTCTAGACCATGGCCATATAGCCTGAAAAAACCTACAACAACCCAAAGCATATGAGGTTACAAGTTTTGAGTAAAGACAAATTGTATATCTAGGTATGTATCCGCTTGGATATTTAAATATCAATCCAGCCAGTGTTTTGATGCTATAGTACAAAAATATCATTAAAAGTGGAAATTGTACCTTTTTTCACCTTTTTTCTGAAAAATGAGAATTGGTTTATACAACACTGCAAAATAATTTTCATTCTGCACTAGTTATAGTAGCCTCAATGACTTGGAAGATTTGTTAATTACTGTTAACGATCGTTTAGTTTCAGTTTCGCTGGCGGATGTCTGCCTGTTTTTGTGTGTGCTTCAGAATTCCTTGCAAATTAGTCTCAGTTGACCTTGAAAAGCCTCTTCCAGTTAGTAGCCAAATAACTACTCTGGATGAATGAAAAAACAATGAGAAGTACTACTAGTTTCTTCATAAAGTTGATTTTGTATCTTATCTATCACATAAGACTATCTGAAATGTATCCAACAACTTTGATAGAAAATCCATGCAAGTGGGTTGCTGTGAGTTTTCCAGACTGTATGTCCATGTTTCAGAAGCATTCTCTGCTGACGGTTCACCCACATCTATGGCAGGCATCCTCAGAGGTTGAGAGGTAGGTTGGAAACTAGGCAAGTGAGGTTTATATATCGGTGGAATGTCCAGGATGGGAGAAAGAACTCTTGTCTGCTTGAGGCAAGTGTGAATGTTGCAATTGGCCGCCTTGTTTAGCATTTAATGGCCTTGCAGCTTCAAAGACTGTCTGGTTGCTGCCTGGGGGAATCAAGCTGGCAATTGCAACATTCACACTTGCCTCAAGCAGACAAGAGTTCTTTCTCCCACCCTGGACATTCCACAGATATATAAACCTCACTTGCCAAGTTTCCAACAGACCTCACAACCTCTGAGGATGCCTGCCATAGATGTGGGTGAAATGTCAGGAAAGAATGCTTCTGGAACATGGCCATACATCCCGGAAAACTCACAGCAATACAGTGATTCCAGCCATGAAAGCCTTCAACAAGACATTAATCCATGCAAGCATTTGTGCATGATGCTGTGACAAACAAGCAGACAGAAAGTTCATTTTATTTATATAGTTTTGACAAAGCTTCCAGAACTAATGTTTGAACTCCACTTGTTCACATTTTTTAAATTATATATCAAACTTACAGAGTACCCTGTAAGTTTGAAACAAAAAAGTTGGATGCTGCCCCTAAGGATTACACATAATGTATCTTTTAAGTCAAATCTTTTCAAACTCACCTTCCAAAATTGATGAAAATCCACTGAAAAAATAGGTGGGATGCACCTCCATGTGAGAGGAAGCCACAGGGAGGAGGGAGCAAGCTTGTTTTCTGCTTCCTTGGAGACTAGGACGCGGAACAATGGCTTCAAACTACAAGAGAGGAGATTCCATCTGAACATAGGAAGAACTTCCTGACTGTGAGAGCCGTTCAGCAGTGGAACTCTCTGCCCCGGAGTGTGGTGGAGGCTCTCCTTTGGAAGCTTTTAAGCAGAGGCTGGATGGCCATTTGTCAGGGGTGATTTGAATGCAATATTCCTGCTTCTTGGCAGAATGGGGTTGGACTGGATGGCCCATGAGGTCTCTTCCAACTCTTTGATTCTATGATTCTCTGATTCTATGATTCCGTCTTCCCTAAAGTGAATTTTGTGTATGGCAGACATCTTGTATATTAGAGCATGCCAAACATATCCTTCAAATTTTCATAACAAAATCCACTTTCTGTTTATGTAAAGAAAACCAGCACGTCACAGGTTCAGCTGGAAATCAGTAATTTATGTGATCACCTGGATGATATTATCCTTCAGTCACTCGTAGGAGAATCCCCTTGTCATGTGTGTTGTCAGAAGTTCATATATTACAGGTATCCATTGAAGTGTGTGACCAAAGACAGCTGAACTGCTATTATGTAGAAAAAATAATGGTCACGGTTCCATACACTTTTAGTGCAAGGTAAATACATAATGGGATAGTTAAACTGAATCCCATAGTTATACAAGCAGTTTTGCACTGGCCACTGAAGCTTTGAGGTTGTCTTTGGCATAACAGTAGACGAATTCCCGAGCCTTCAAGGCAAAAGAGAGACATCTGTGTGTGATAAGCTACATTAGGAATGATTTCTACACGGTACCTAAAAAAGCACAACAGCTTGCACAAAGCCTTCTACAGTGCATAGTTTGCACAATGATTTTCCACTAATGTAGTGGCCCAATAGGATTTTGGCCTTACTTCCTTCTTGCAAGTTACAAAAATAAACAATATTACCATCTGCCTTATCTTTCTGTTCTGCTGCTCGTTTTGAACATATGCTCTGCACTGGGGACTTTTACCACTTTCACTCATAATAAACTTCCTTAAGTCATGAGTAATATGGTTAGAACCTCTTTCTCCTTTGAAACACAATTGAAACAAAATAAAGGAAGTTCTTCCAGAAAAGCACATGATCTTGAAAGTTAGCTGCATTGAGTTTTTGTCAAAATGAATTGTTGCATTGTTGGCAAGGAGTGGGCTAATTACGAATGCCAATGCGCAAGGCAGAGGATCGGTGTTTCTCCATGGGCCTTTTCACACTTCACAGTTATATCACCATGATTCCATTTTAATTGCCATGGTTCCATACTATGGAACCCTGGGATTTGTAGTTTATCTGAAGCTTATGGTTTCCTATTATGGTTTCTGTTCTTAAACCGCTTTGAGTCCCCCCAGGGGTGAAAAAGATGGTATATAAATACTGTAAATAAATAAATTATAGGATCCTTCCACACAGTCATATAATCCAGAATATCAAGACAGATTAATCCTCAATATCTGCTTTGAACTGGATTATCTGAGTCCACACTGCCATATAATCCAGTTCAATGTGGATTTTATACAGCTGTGTGGAAGGGGCCTGTGTAATAGCTTAACTGTTTTCCAGTGATAGACCAGTTCTCCATGTAATAGTCTACTCTTCTTTTAAAATAAGGTAAAGGTAAAGGTAGTCAGTTCCGACTGGGGGGTGGTGCTCATCTCCCTTTCTAAGCTGAAGAGCTAGCGTTGTCCGTAGATGCCTCCTAAATCATGTGGCCGGTATGACTGCATGGAGTGTAGTTTTAAAATATTATTAAAATATTTCTATCTAATAGCTGTTTAACATGAGACACAATTAGTTCTATGTTGCACAGAGTTGGGTGTTTGTAATTCTAAGGAGGCTGTCAAAGTTCTGAACCGGTGCCTGGCAGCTGTGATGATCTGGATGAGGTTGAATCCAGACAAGACAGAGGTCCTCCTGGTCAGTCGCAAGGCTGAACAGGGTATAGGGTTACAGCCTGTGCTGGATGGGGTTACACTCCCCTTAAAGGCACAGGTACGCAGCTTGGGAGTCCTCCTGGATTCATTGCTGAGCCTGGAATCTCAGTTTGCAGCGGTGGTTAGGGGGGCTTTTGCACAATTAAAACTTGTGCACCAGCTGCGCTCGTACCTTGGGAAGTCAGACTTGGCTGCGGTGGTCCATGCTCTTTCTCACATCTAGGTTAGATTACTGCAAAGTGCTCTACATGGGGCTGCCTTTGAAGACTGCTTGGAAGCTTCAAATAGTCCAGTGAGAGGCAGCCAGGTTAATAACTGGAGTGGTGTACAGAGAGCACACAACTCCCATGTTACACCAGCTCCACTGGCTTCCAGTTTGCTACCAAGCAAAATTCAAAGTGCTGGCTTTGGTCTATAAAACCCTAAATGGCCCCGGCCCAATTTACCTGTCCGAATGCATCTCCCCCTATGAGCCACCATGGAGATTAAGATCTTCTGGGCAGACCCTGCTCTTGGTCCCACCACCATAACAGGCACATTTGGCGGGAACAAGAGACAGGCATTCTCAGTGATTGCCCCATGGCTATGGAACTTCCTTCCTAATGAGATCAGGTCAGCCCCCTCCCTCTTGTCCTTCAGAAGGATGATAAAAGCGTGGCTGTGGGACTGAGTCTTTGGGACTGTGTAATGAGGTGGCGATAGGAACCAAATTCAATATGGTTGTTGAGACAGTTTTAACTAGAAGATTTTAACGTCAAGATAAGTTATTTTAATGTTTTTGTATGTGTATAGTCTAGTATGTTTCGGCATTGAATGTTTGCCGTTTATATGTTGTGCTCTGCCCTGACTCCCCTTCGGGGTGAGAAGGGCGGAATATAAATGTTTTAAATAAATAAAAAATAATAGTTATGTCTTGTAATACATTTACTTTATTGGATGGTCCTATGTTGCAGCAAGAACTGACACAATGTAGTGATTTGAGTGACGGATTAGGATTTTGGAAGATCAAAATTCATATTCCTGTTTAATCACCGGTGACCCTGAGCAAATTAATATCTCACAGTTTTATTAAAAGGCAATGACAAACTTCCTCTGAATAGATCTTGCCAAGAAAACCCTATCATGGGATTGTCAAGTCAAAGGGACATCACAATCCTGACCCTGCAGTGGAACAATGGCCTTCTGTCTATTCTGGTTCACATGGGAAAATCTTCTCCTTTGCCTAATGCTCTTATCATGTTCTTCTCAATGACTTCGCCCATCTTCATTCACACAAATCCTTCCAATGTGTAGACTCAGTGATGGGCCTGCAGATGGCAGAATATACAAAACTAGAAATCATTTATTCATTTATTACTCTATGCAACAAAATTGGAAACATGTTCTGTTCCTGATTTGAAAGTGTTATTTCCTGTTTAATTGTGCGGTACTTGCTTTGAAAGAAAACTTCGTTATACTCCAGAAACTATGTTGAACTGGTTGAAACTCATTGAAAAACTATAGCAACATGTTCTGTAGGATGTCCCGCAAAAACAAAGTTTTTGCAGTTCAATAAACTTTCCCCATGTCTTTATGATAGAATCAATTAGCAAATGACATTTATAACCCAGGAACAAAATTGTGTTATGAAGTGCTGTCTAAATGGCTTGTATCTTACTATTCAGACAAAAAGCCCGTCAGGGTTTACTAAAAAATCATTGGCTGTTAGAATTGGAAACAAATTTTGAAATTTATCTAATCTAGCACCTTTAAATTGCAATATTTGTGTCAGCTTCTGCTCATTGTGTCCTCAAGCAAGTGTAAGAGATGAACAGACTATTTACCTTTAGGAAGGTTTTCCTAACATTTATCCAAGATCAGCTTGCCTTTCATTTCAGTCCATTGATTCTTGTCTTAGAACAAAAGAAAACACATCTAACTTGTTCTTTTTGCATTGCAGCCCTTCTGATACTTTAAGACATTTCCCATGGCTTCCTTAAACTTATTTTCTGCAGAATGAAAATAGCTGTTCCTCACTGGTTTCTAGCCTCTCCCTTTCTGGCCACCTTCATCTAGATGGAATTTAATTTGTCACCATGTTTAAAGTGTAGCACCTGTAATTGGATGAAATATTTCAGCAACTTGTCTTCTGATTTGGTCCTAAAATTGTTCTCTTTCTCAATCTTTTGAATTCCAAAATAGGAAAATAAAGTACAATTCCTGGAAGATTCCTTATCAGCCCTTGCTGTTAATCAGTTGATTTGATTACTTAACAGGATGCTTCAAAGAAGTTAAGAGAGTTGTTTGCAAAGAGTTAAACCTTGTGCACACAAACAGGGGTTATGTTATCATGGTGATACCAGCTTAGGAGAGGATAAGCACTAAGAGCTAGAGCAGTATCGTCGCTCGGAAAATGAGCTAACAAAACGCAAATCCCTCTTTGAGATGTTAGCTCCAGATGAATTAACATCTTAGATGTGTTATCATTGCTCAGTTGTCACGTTTGTAGTAGGGGAATAGAAGTTGTGATTTATGGTCACAGAAGACATCTAGAAATACAAGGGTGTTGTGTAATGTTATTGTTAATTTATGAGATTAATTTTGACTACCTGATAAAATGCATTCTTCATACAAACTGTTCAGAGTTTGGAAAATTGATTTTTGGACAACAGATTGCAGAATCCTACAGTGTGATTATGGTCCATGGTGGCTTTGGGAATGTGTCAGATATAGTTACAAGATAACTTTTCTAAGCTATGGTATTATTTCAGATTCTGACTGGTTTGAGATGACAAATTAGGGAACCCGACTTAATTTTAAAAAATGTAAAGGAGGGGTATGGTGGTACTTGAAGTTAATTTGCTCTCTCTTTCACAGAAACAAATGAAAATAGGAAGTGATAGCTTCTCTAATGTGTCATATTTGGACATATTGCCCAAGGGCCTATATGCCCACATTCAATTCTGCATTTTCCCATCACCCAACAGCTTACAAATCTGGGAGAGGCATTTGCTACTGTCACATACCAAGAGGAAGGAATAATAATAATAATAATAATAATAATAGTAATAATAACAACTTCATTTGTAGACCACCCTATCTCCTGAAAGGACTCAAGGCGGTTTCCAACATATATGACAAACAAGGAAAAACATACAAACAAATTACAGTAGAGTCTCACTTAGCCAGTGGGCTGGTAAAATGTTGCATAAGCAAAAATGTTGGATAATAAGGAGGGATTAATGAAAAGTCTATTAAACGTCAAATTACGTTATGATTACAAATTAAGCACCAAAACATCAAGTTTTACAACAAATTGACAGAAAAAGCAGTTCAATGCACAGTAACGTTATGTAGTAATTACTGTATTTATGAATTTAGCACCAAAACATCGCAAAGTATTGAAACAGCTGTGGATCCGGGCGGGAAGCAGACTGCCTTGGATAATACAGAACGTTGGATGAATGAAATTTGGATAAGAGAGACTCTACATCAAAACAGATCACATCAAGCAATATATATGCGACCTAACTTTAAACCTAATAAACAGAAATAATCAAAGATAGAAACTTAAATAACCCATACAGACATGAATGCATAATATAAATTTAACACTGGGTAAAACATCTAAAAATGAATAACTCTTTCAGAAAACAACAGGCTGAAATCAATTCCAATATTTAGACAGGATTTAATATATTTAGGCGAGGGTGTAAGTCGAGATCTGATAGTCTTCCTCCTCTCCATACGCCAGACAACATAGATGGGTTTTTAGTAACTTTTTGAAGGTGAGGAAAGGGAACGGTTTTTAGTTCTTTTGGGAGGGAGTTCCAGAGACAGGGAGCAATCACAGTGAAGGTCCCTTCTCTAGTTCCCACCAGCCGTGCTTGAGACGGGGAACCAAGAGCAGGGCCTCCTCTGCAGATTGCAGTGCTCCAGCCAGTTTGTATGGGAACTAATTCAGGCCATAGAGTAACACTAGAGCCCCTTCCACAACTGAATAAAATCCTACACTATCTGCTTTGAACTGAAATATATGGCAGTGTGGATTCAGATAACTCAGTTCAAAGCAGATATTGTGAGATTTTCTGCCTTGATATTCTGGGTTATATGGCTGTGTAAACAGGTCCTAGCTCTCAGCCTGATCAGAAGGGAGAAGTGATAGTACACAAATAAAGTGCTCCTCTCCCTCCCCCCCTGAAATCAGGCAAGCCAGATCTTTATGGTATAAATATTTTCCCCTCTTCACCAGCATATGATAACAGATGGGCTTTGAGAATTTCTCATAGTAGTTTTGGAACAGAGCAGGAGGCTAATTGAATAACCATCTGCATCATGTTCAAAATCAGACTTAGGTATGTTTGTGCTGCACTTATGTATATTTAACTCACTAATCAAATGGCGTGATTATGTCTAGACCCAGGATTATGGTTAAACATGCCCAACAAACCAATATTTCTAAGCAACCTTTTAAAGCTCTAGTCTGCAATCAGAGAGAATGAATGCTTTGGCAATTCATGGGATTCCCAAACATAACCAGTATTTCCTTGAAACCATGTCCAGTTTTACCAGAGCAAAGGAGAAAACTGCATGTAGAGTAAGGTGGAGACAGGAATACAAAGGTGCTAACGTGGTAAATGCATTTATTTGCAGATAACATTATGTAACAAAATATGAAAAAAAAAATCAGGAGATAATGCTTCTAGAAAATGGCCATATAGTCTGAAAAAATCGACAACAACCCCAAAAAAATCTGTTCCTGGTTTGAAAGTGTTATTTCCTATTTAATAGTGAAGTCCTTACTTTGAAACTCCAGAAACTTTGTTTTGTGGCTGCCACAAACTATGTTGAATTGGTTGAGACTCTATGAGTTATTCCTTGAAAAACTATAGCAAAATGTCCTGCTGGATGTCCTGCAAAAACAAAGTTTTTACAGTTTTCCATGTTTTTATAATAGAACCAATTAAGATATTACATTTATAACCCAGGAATAAAAATTGTGTTACATAGTGTAATCCTCTTTCCCTCCATCCTCTCCATAGTATGTCAAAATCTTTTCAAGTCTGCTGAAAGGGCTACACTGAATGAGCATCTCCCAATTCCTTACCACCTTATTTTGTCATTTAGCAGGCATTGTTTGTAAATGTTGATTGTTTCTGTTTCATGTATGAATCCCAGCGCAGTCTTTTTAAAATGGCCTGGTGTGAGTGCGGTATAACAGCTGGCCGGATCTGTATAACACCAGAAAAGACCGCATCTTGGAAAACTCTGCAAGCCAGGGGATTCTGGGAGTGATGGTGCAAAAAAAAAATACTACCACATTCTGGGGAAAATTATTCATTTGTCTGTTGATTATTGAGTCATGTGCACAGCCATTAAACTGTACTTTGTGTTTGTTTTTGATTGTTCTCTTTCTCTAGTTCAGAACTTCCCTTGGCAAAGGAAGGGCATTTCTCCGTTACTCCTTAGTGCACCAAAGACTTGCAGATACTTTGCAACAGTGTTTTATGAATACCAAAGTTACAAGGTACTTTTCCTTTATTATTTGTGTGTTTGTTTTCTGCCGTTTGTTAAATTTAAAATGTCATTGTTTTGCTACAGAGTTCTACCAACAAGACTATTCAAAGCAGTCTGTTTTGCTGTGGTGGGTTTCATTAAAACCGCATAACATTTCTAAAATAGACCAGAAAACCATGGTATAATAGTTCTTTTGTTACCATGCATCATGTTTTGAACCATACATATGAGCTGCTTTTAATTTCCTTTTTGCATCCCTTTTTTCTTTAGTGACTGGTACTATGCAAGAAGTCCTTTCCTCAACCCCAAAATGAGTTCTGATATCATTGGTCACCTTTACGAATTAACTGAGGTTCAATTTGATTTGGCGTCTAGAGGCTATGACTTAGATTCAGCATGGCCCACATTTGCCAGGTAATACAAGCCAGATAGTTCTGCGACATTAGAAAACTTTCCGTAACCTGTATTGTTATTTATAACATCTTTACTCTTCTGTGTGTGAGTCAGTGGATAGATAGGATTTCATTATGAACAGCATATTGAATTTCAGTATCCTTTCAATGCACAGTCAGATCAAATCACATTTATTTATTTATTTACTATATTTATTTACTATATTTATATACCGTTTCTCTCGGCCCGCAGGCAACTTGGGGCGGTTCACAGTTGGTACCAAGACCATAAAATACAATTAAAAACATTAAAATATTATAAAACCATAACAAAATTAATAAACATCTTATGAAGCACTGCAAGAAATAGTTTTGCTTGTGAGCTCGGAAGTCTAGATCTAGTAGTTAGTTCCAACTAGAATCAGTGCAATTTAAATAAATGTTTTTTTTATGAATTACCATTGCTTCATTGTATTTTCTCTAGCCAGGACTCTCAAATTGCATTTGTGCCTAAATTACCAATGACTGAAACTGTCTCAGCTTACTTCCCTTTTAACTGTCATGGCTTTATCTGTTGTTTAATGAGTGTTTAGAATTCTGCGCAAGAAAACTCTAGCACACTTCCTTAAATTATAATTTCCAGTGTATATCCTGATCTAATCTTCAGTCTATCTTCTCACAGAACATTGAAAACTATAGCATAGAAAAATGCACTGGAACACATTTGCAAAAATTCTAAGTGTTTGGCAAACTGCAAATTCAAGAATTTCTTAGGATGTAGTCATGACAATTAAAATTGGTCCATTTTTTGGGCGGAGGCCAAAAGAGGGTGCTAGAAAAAGGATAGTCCATTTTATGGTGGGGGGAGGAGGATTTGAAGGAATAAAACTGTTGTCCCCTGTTGTCCTGGTATTCCTTTCACCCATGTCACCGTCAACCAGCAAAAAAAGGGGAAATTGTTTTTCTCCTTCAGCTCCCCCTCTGTATAATGGATTCTCCTCTGTCTAGCACCCCTTTTTTGGTCTTCACCTGGATAATGGAACAGTATGCTGGAAGTAAATACAGTTCTCTCTCTCTCTCTCTCTCTCTCTCTCTCTCTCTCTCTCTCTCTATATATATATATATATATATATATATATGAGAGAGGGGGGAGAGAGTATTGTAAATACTCCAATGTTTAATCATGGATTAAAGTGGAAATATGTCATTCTTCACTGTGATGTCATTTTCTATATATGTCATCTGATTCATTACTGTATACTAAGTTGCTTATTTGTAGCTGTAGGCCTTTAAGTTATCATACATAAATTCACAGAAATGGGTTTGTTCCCATTTGTATGAGTCACAGAGACTGCAAAGAGTAATATGTGATGACTGAAATATAAACAAGTTGCCCATGGAAACTGTCTATGTTTCAGTCACCACATATCTGTATTTCAAAAAACACAAATGACCAAAAAGCATCATTTTAAATATAAAATGAAGCTATAGCACACAATTTCAGCGAGTTCAATTTTCTATTTTATTAATAGTGAACAGATATGCTTTTTAGTACACACATGCTTTACAATTGATGCAGATATAGATTCATTTTGCAACAAGATAGTTATTATAAATTCCTTTTTTTATTGTTAGGAGAACATTATCTTCTCTTGGCTCCTCAGCTTACTTGTGGAAACCACCAAGCCGCACTTCGAGTATGAGCAGCTTAGTGAGCAACTATCTGCAGGTAATTGTGTTAACAAAGCAGTGTGTTTCCTCATAAGCAAAAGCATGGGTACTCTTCAAAGTCCTCATTGTTATGAACCATAACAATTAGGTTTTTTTTCATGTCAGGAGCAACTTGAGGGTAGAATTGCAGTAGAACTCACAGTCTGTTCTTTTTCTGGATTGTCACCTGAGCATTTGATTATCTGAACTTATTGTGTGTTTCCTGTTTTCTTAGCACTATAATCTTAAACAAACAACTGTCTTGTTTGTCTGGTTTATCCAGATGTTGTAAGAGTTTTCTAGTGGCTTATATATAATACAAGTTTCTCTTGTACAATAATCTGAGATAGAGACAAAAAAGGAGGCAGCAATTTTACTAATTTTGCTTTCATTTTTCTCTTGTTCTTTCTAGGCACAAGAGATTCCTTCTAGTCCCAATGGGAACAATTTTTTAAATATTGAACCCCTTGAGGGCCTAGATGAGTTGCACACAGAGCTTGACCAGGCAGAGCTGCGGCAAAAGGAACTGCAGGATCGGATCCATCATCTGGAAAAGGAGAACCAGACACTTCAGGCAGCTGTCAGCTTTGAGCAACAGCAAGCACAGGCCGAAAGGGAGAACAGTGGCCGGATCAAAGAGGAGAACGTCAGGCTCACAAAAATGCTTGAGGAGCTGGAGAAACAACGAGAGATCTCCTACTGTACTCAGGGTACTGTGCAGGACCTGCAGAAATGTTTGCAGGTGTTAGAACTGAATGCTGCCGAGAAGCAAAGAGAATACTCTGCAAAGCTTGAGGAACTGGAGGCCAGCAAAAGGGACTCTGACTCTAAGCTACTTCTCTTGAATCAAGAACTGGAAAGCAGCAGATCTTTAGTAGCCATGAAGGATGTCTGCATTAGTGAACTCATGGCCAATCTGAAATCAGAAGAGCAGAAGAATGAGGAGCTCATAGCCAAGACCCTCCTGAATGAAAAGGGACAACAAGCCAATCAGTATGAATCTGCACTGAAGTTTGAGGAGTTGCGAAAGAAGGTCCATACAGTAGAACAGGAGAAGGTTGATGCCTGGAAGCTAAATGACAAACATCTTTCTCTGCTTAAAGTTACAGAAGAGGAACTGCATCTGAAAGAAGATGCTCAGAAGGAGCTTGAACTGAAGTTGGAAAACCTCACCATCAGCTGTAAAGAAGAATCTGAAAAACTGAGTCTTAAACTGGAAACCATGGCAACTGAAAGAGCTATTCTTGAGAAAGAGCTAGTAGCAAAAGGCAAGGAGGCAGCTGATCTTCAAATCCAATTGAAAGATTCTTTGGAATGTGTAAAATCATTGGGGGGAAAACTTGAGGAGGAAAGGGAAGAGAAGGTGGAACTTGAGAGGTCATTTAGCCATAAAAAAACAATAATGGAACAAGAAGTAAAAAACACAATGGATCAGCTTGTGTTGCTGGAAATTAAATTATCAGAACTAAGTCAGAGAGTTAAAAGCTTAGAGGAACAAAAAACAGAACTTGTTTCTGAAAGAGACTCTCTCAGAAAAAAATTAGAAAGAATGGAGCAACAGGCAGTCGAGCAGAGCTCTTCATTGAGAAATACCACTGAAAGATATGAGAAGCTCAAGTCCCAGAATGCAAAGCTGCAACAAACCAATCAGAAATTAGAAGAAAGGTGGAGAGCACTGGAAGCGTCTAAATCTTGTTTAGAAGCTGAGGTTGCCAAGTTGAGAGCTTCCGAGAAACAACTCCAAAATCAAATAGATGATGCTGTAGTGTCTGTGGATGAAAAGGAGAAGAAGCTCCGAGAAGAAAACAAGCTTCTGGATGAAAACCTGCAGAATGCCACAAGGCAAAACCAAGTTCTGGAAGAGAAGATGAATACTTTGCAGGTTGACTATCAAGAATTGAAACAGAGTGAAGACACCATGAAGGAGTCCTTAAGTGTACTTGAAACCAAGCTCCAGAGCACCAAAGAGCATTGCTTGCAAATGGAAAATAATGTGTCTTCTTTGAGGAAGAATGAAGAATCTTTGAAGGCACTGCTTGGAGAGAAAGATGAGGCATTGCAGTGCCTGGAGAGTCAGTGCAGGCAGCTTCAAGGAGAAGTTGAGAGGTGCAGAAAAGAAGTGAAAACTCTAGAAGCAGAAAAAGCAGATATTGAAAAAACGTGTCTCCATCAAACGAAGGTGATTGAATCCATTAGTTCTGAAAAGACATCTGTAGAGAAAGCCCAGTTGGAACAGGCAGCCTGTCGAGAGAGAAAAGAAAAAGATCTGGTTTCCAGATTGGCTCTTTCTGAAGAACAGCTGCATATCAACCAGGCAGAGATTGCTAGGCTTCAAGAGCAAATGATGGACCTTCAGGCTAAGTTTCAACAAACTGTTGCAGAGAAGGAGAAACTGCAAGGCAAGCTGGATATCCATAAGACAGTCCTAAATGAGCATAAGTCCCTGGCCCAGCAGCTGAAGGAGCAGAATGAAGCCCTCAACAGGAACCATGTGCAGGAACTGCTTCAGTGTCAGGAGCAGGAGGAAGGACTGAAAAAAGAGAGAGATCAGAAAGTCCATCAGAAGGCTGAAATGGAAAAGAGTGTTCTGTGCCTCACAGATGAATTGTCCAGGGTCAAGCAGTGTTTGGAGATGGTTAACATGGAAAATATGGAAATCAAGGATCTTCTCCATAGGACCAACACTGAAATGGCTGAGCTTGGCATTCAGATTTGCACTCTGACATCTGAGAAGGCAGAAGCAGAAGAAAAGCTGTCCCAGCTCATGGAAGAACTGGGTGCTACCAAAGAAAAGGCAGCTAAGGATCAAGAGGAGCTTCAGAATGCGCTCTCAAGGCTCACTCAGGAAAAAGAAGGCCTGCAAGAGAAACTGGAGGATTCTGAGGTTTGCGCTGCCACTGTACCTGACCTGCGGACTCAGCTAGAGACAGCAGAGCGACAGGCACAGAGTCTGCAAGAGTTCAGCAAAGAGGAGCTATCTGCAGTCAAGTTTCAGCTGAGTACAGAAATTATAAACTATCAAACTAAATTTAAGGTAATGCGAACAACAGGTGATGTTGAAATAAGACCGGGATTCTGTACACTAGGGATAGTCAACCTCTAAATTGCACATTGCCAACATAGCTTGAAAACTCCACTTTTTGATATTATAATTCCCAGAATTTTCTAGTCAGCCTGACCAGGCTATTAACATTTGCTTGGCATTACCCTGGGAATTGACCGTACATTTTTTCTCTATATATGTTGGACCTTTGTGTTGAGCATTAATTAATCATGGCTCTCCAGCTGATTGGGGCTCCAACTCCCAGAATTCCTGACTATTGAACCAGATGGCTTCTAGAAGTTGGAGGCCCAGACAGCTGAAAGGCTGCAGTTTGAGGATGCCTGTGATCTATTCATATGGATGGCTAGGATCCTGCCTTCTCTCTCTGGTAAAATGGATTTACAGACACTTAGCTTTGCTTCATTAATTCTTGGATTCCCATCTGGACTTCTGATAGTAATACAGATATCACAAAGAGCTAGTTGGCTGTATCACACCCTTTGTTTTCACCCCTTGTCCCACTGTGCACTATTTACAGCAATACTAAACTTAGCTTTTTTCACAGTTTTCCTATGTCCTTTCTTTTCCCAATCTTAATAGTGTGTTTGTTGTTGTTACCTGATGTCAGCAAATGAATCATGTAATGAATAGTGTCTCTTTTTCAACAATACCAATGTGTGTTTGATATCTCCTGCCAGGCTGTCAGTGAAGAATGTGAACACTTACAACGGGAGCTTGAAAAGAGGAAGCAGCAAGTATACATTGCAGAAGAAGCACTCAAAGACATGCAGGTAGGTTGTATATATGGTTGGGACAAACCACTCTTTGAAGTATTGGAGTCAACATGTATTTGCATTCTGGTCGATCTGACACATGGGCTGAATATCTACTAGCTCTTTTTGTGTGGCTTAAGATACATTCTGTGTCTCTGCAACATAAAGTTGTAGGCTATGTACATGTTGCATATATGTGTGAGCTTGGGTTTTTTAAACTCTCCGTTATGAGGTGCTGTCATTCTCCTTCTCTCTCCATGAATCCTTTTCTCTCCATGGTGCCATTAAATTGACAAGCTGTAGTTTGAGCCATCCCCAATGATAGGATATTATCTGTGTGCTGTCATTTAATCCCACAGATTAATTAGACTCACCAAAGTGACTTACCCCTAAGGGCCCTTCTAGGCCCTATATCCCAGGATCTGATCCAAGGTTTTTTGCTTATCCCAATTTATCTGGCAGTGCAGGCTCATATAATCCAGGTTAAAACAGAAAACCTGGAATCAGATCCTGGGATATAGGGCCTGTCTGGAAGGGGCCCAAGTTGAAAAAAAACATGTAAAAACATGTTATTAAATATTTTAAATACATAAACACACACACAAATGAAATATAGAAGATATCTCTCAACAACACAAAGCATGGCAAGACATAGGTAAAAGTAAAGGCTTCACCTGACATTAAGTCTAGTCATGTCTGACACTGGGGGTTGGTGTGCATCTCTATTTCTAAGCCAAAGAGCTGGTGTTGTCCGTAGACACCTCCAAGGTCATGTGGACAGCACGACTGCAAGGAGCGCCATTACCTTCCCGCTGGAGGGGTAACTATTGATCTACTCATATTTGCATGCTTTCGAACTGCTAGGTTAGCACAAGCTAGGGGAAACAGCGAGAGCTTCCCGGATTTGAACCACAACCTTTTGGTTAGCAAATTCTGCAGCTCCACAGTTTAACCCACTGTGCCACCAGGGAGCCCTATAGCAAGACATTAAAAATAATAAATAAATACTAGCAATGCTGTCTAACATAAACCTAACCTGATCTACGTACTACTAGGCAAATCCACCTGTACTCACCCTCAGCCCATCCCCACTTACATACCTTACTCAGATTTGTCAAGAAAACAGCATATAGCGAGTTGACATGCTCCAGTTTGCATGTTTTTGAATGTTTGGAAGCCATTCCAGGAAGCATACAATACATGAATGCAAAGTCTAATATAAAATGTATTCATTCATACATATTTTTTTTCAAGAAAACGTGGTTTAAAATAACAACAAATCTTAGTATCATTGTTTTTTAATGATAAAAGGCAACAGTTTCCTTGTAATAATTAGAATGAAAGAAAAATAGCCTTAATAATAATAATAATATACAAAATATACAAAATAAAATACTATTTGTCCCAGTAAAAACTCAATTGTAATTCATGCAATAACTTCACAGTGGTCTTCAAATTAGTGGATTTTTTAGCCTTAGTTGAGTCATTGTATATACAGAAGACGCTTACTTCTTGGGAGGAGAGCAATGTCCAGTCTCGATAAAATAGTGAAGAGTAGAGACATCAGACTGACAACAAAGATCCGCCTAGTCAAAGCCATGGTATTCCCTGTAGTCACCTACGGATGTGAGAGCTGGACCTTAGGGAAGGCTGAGCGAAGGAAGATCGATGCTTTTGAACTGTGGTGTTGGAGGAAAGTGCTGAGAGTGCCTTGGACTGCGAGAAGATCCAACCAGTCCATCCTCCAGGAAATAAAGCCTGACTGCTCATTGGAGGGAAGGATACTAGAGACAAAGTTGAAGTACTTTGGCCACATCATGAGGAGACAGGAAAGCCTAGAGAAGACAATTATGCTGGGGAAAGTGGAAGGCAAAAGGAAGAGGGGCCGACCAAGGGCAAGATGGATGGATGGCATCCTTGAAGTGACTGGACTGACCTTGAGGGAGCTGGGGGTGGTAACGGCCGACAGGGAGCTCTGGCGTGGGCTGGTCCATGAGGTCACGAAGAGTCCGAGGCGACTGAACGAATGAACAACAACACAACAACATATACATTTGTTAGAGCTTTCTTGCCACCTTGTGTCCGGAATGGTGAATTGCATGGTTTGATTTAGCAATTTAAAAAGTGAAATGATAATAATAATAATAATAATAATAATAGTAATAAAAAGAAAACATCATATAATTTATCCTGTGGTCTATTTTAAATCATGTCGAATGTCAGGCGCTGTTTGCACTTTAGTCATTTAACTATCTAGGATATATTTTTTGTGCAGTTATGTTTTATTGATGCAATTATGCTGTCTTTAGGTATCTGTATTTTTATAACTTTAATTTTCTTTACTAATAAGTTTATTAATGTCTATTTTACATTCTTGATGTTGTGTGATTTTAATTATGGCACTGAATGTTTGCCTTTTTGTATATATGTAAACTGTCCTGAGTCCCTTCAGGGAGAGAGGGCGGTCTAGAAATAAAGTATTATTATTATTATTATTATTATTATTATTATTATTATTATTATTATACTTGTTAATTCTGGCAGCCATTTATGGGAGATCTGGAAAAGCGTTTTGGAAATATCTACAGCTACAAATATACTTTTATGTAACACTGCAGGACCTCACTTGGGATTTTCTTTAATATCATCCAAAAAAGCTCCAAAACTCTAAATTGTCCCAGTGACCACATTTCTTCCAAAATTGTATATAAAACCCTTGTTTGTAGTTCTTTTCTTATATTCTCTCTCTCTTTTAAAAACTGTTTTGTTAGGCCGCTAAAAGAGACCTGTCCACAAAACTGGATCTTGCCACTGATTCGATAACTGAGTGTAAAGCAGCCCTGCAAAAAAAAGATGAAGAGTTAGCTCAACTTCAAGATGATCTGAAAAGGTTAGAATTTTGCTTACATTGGCTTTTCCATATTAATGTTTGTCTTTTGAACCTGTAAGGAAGCCTAACATAGTCAGCTTTAATCATGGCTTTATTTACATCTCTATTCTGCAATTACACTTTGGAATAGTAATAATAATAATAATAATAATAATAATAATAATAAAACTTTATTTATACCCCATTACCATCTCCCCAAGGGACTCTGTGCAGCTTACATGAGGCCAAGCCCACAGTACATCAGTAAACAAAAGCAATGACAAAAACAATAAATACAAAACAATTAATATAAATCACATAAACAAAAAATAAATAATATCAGTAACACACAGCATTTAAAAAACCTATGGCCGGGCCAAATGTAATAATTTAATTTTTTTTAAAAAATGCTGGGCATGAACAAGGTAGGATATAACTGGGATAGAGTTTTTCAAAGAGAGATGAGGGAACGCAGTCAGTCCTAAACCAGTGGTAAAGTGCATTTTGAGGGCATATTGCTGAGAGTTTTCCTTATTCTGGGAAGGCACAGTGGAACAGCCACATTTTCAGACTCCTCCTAAAGACTGCCAGAGTTGGGGCATGTCTGATGTCCTTGGGAAGTGAATTCCAGAGTCGGGGGGCCACAACCAAGAAGGCCCTCTCCCTTGCCCCACCAATCGCACCTGTGAAGGAGGTGGGAGCGCGAGCAGGGCCTCTCCAGATGATCAAAGTGAATAATAAGTCATTGATGGTGGTGTGCCTTTAAGTCATTTCTGACTTAAAAAGACCCTATCATGTAGTTTTCTTGGCAAGATTCCTTCAAAAGAGATTTGCCATTGCCTTCCTCTGAAGCTGAGAAAAAAGTGGATTTCCTTGGCTGAGCAGGGATTTGAATCTCAGCTCCAGAGTCATACTCCAATGTTTTCAACCACTACACCATGCTGGCTCTCTTTTTGGCCATAGATTGCAGCAAACCAGAAAATGAGCATGATCTTCAAATTAATGTTAAAAAATGAGAGAAGAGATTAAATTTAGCCTTCCTTTAGGAGCCAGAAAAGAGAGTACTGTATATACTTGAGTTTAAGCCGACCCGAATATAAGCCAAGGCACCTAATTTTACCACAAAAACTGGGAAAATGTATTGACTTGAGTATAAGCCAAGGATGGAAAATACAACAGCTACTGGTAAATTTCAAAATAAAAATAGATACCAATACAATTACATTAATGGAGGCAGGATAAATGTTTTTGAATATTTACATAAAACTGTAATTTAGGATAAGACTGTCCAGCTCTGATTAAACTATATAGTAAAAAAATAAATGTAATAACAATAATAAAAAATAGAGAAAATAATAAATGTAATAATAATAAATAGAATAAAATAGAGAACCACTGACCGCATAGGGAAGCTGATGAGGAAACACAACATACAAACTATCTACAGACCCACCAAGAAAATCCAACAAATGCTACGTTCAGCAAAGGACAAGAGGGATCCTCTCACTTCTGCAGGAGTCTACCGTGTACCATGCAGCTGTGGACAAGTCTACATAGGGACCACCAAACACAGCATTGCCCAAACACGAATCAAGGAACATGAAAGGCACTGCAGACTACTTCAACCAGAGAAGTCAGCCATAGCAGAGCACCTGATGAACCAACCTGGACACAGCATATTATTTGAGAACACAGAAATGCTGGACCACTCTCACAACCACCATGTCAGACTACACAGAGAAACCATTGAAATCCACAAGCATGTGGACAATTTCAACAGAAAGGAAGAAACAATGAAAATGAACAAAATCTGCCTACCAGTATTAAAAAAAACTCTAAAACCATTTATCAGAGAGGAAACAAACAAGGACCTCTAATCACCTCTCAACAAAAGATTGCCCCAGGCACTGCCAGGCCATCAAATGCTAATCAAGGTGGTCAGTTGAAACATTCACACCTAGCTCCAACAGACAAGATTCCTTTGTCCCACCCTGGTCATTCCACAGATATATAACCCCTTTTCCTAGTTCCAACAGACCTCACTACCTCTGAGGATGCTTGCCATAGATGCAGGCGAAACGTCAGGAGAGAATGCCTCTAGAACATGGCCATATAGCCCGAAAAAACCTACAACAACCAAATAAAATAAATGTAATATAATAATAATAGAGTAAAATAATGAAAATGTTATGATAATAAATAGAGTAAAATAATAAATGTAATAAAAATAATAATAACAGAGTAAAATAATAAATAACTTTGACTCGAGTATAAGCTGAGGGGGGCTTTTCAGCCTTAAAAGGGGCAGAAAAACCCAGCTTATACTCGAGTATATACGGTAGGATCTGCAACCACTCACAGATCCCTATCTTCTATTTGGTAGTCCAATTTCCATAAAGTTCTTTGTTTTACATTTATCAGCAATTTAAAAACAGTGGGATGTTGTGTGGTTTCCGGGCTATATGGCCGTGTTCTCGCAGCATTTTCTCTTGATGTTTCACCTTCATCTGTGGGTGGCATCTTCAGAAGATCTTCTGAAGATGCCAGCCACAGATGCAGGCAAAATGTTAGAAAATGCTGCTAGAACAAGGCCATACAGCCCAGAAACCACACAACACCCCAGACATTCCAGCTGTGAAAGCCTTGGACAATAAATCTAAAAACATTCTGTATGACATTTAAAAAAAGAGAAGTCAGCAATTAAGTGGTGGTTTGACCCCATTGTTTAACAAAAAATAAAATTCCATCTGTCTTGAAAATTGGGAACTAGAATTGGTTTTGTAGTATAGCTGTGCTGTGCAAAAAAAAGTTATAAATAGGACGAATTGAGATAAACTTGATGTCCAAAAAGATAAGAGGCTTCTAATATGTCTTTCAATAGGGCACAGCATGATGTCTGCACAGCAAATGAGCAAATTCAGTACTGTAGCGATAACCTCAACAAGATGAAATCAGACCGTGACAGCAACGAGAAGAAGTTACTAGCTGAACTAGATGACCTCACAAGAACAAAGCAGTTCCTGGAAGAACGGTTGATTGAGCTTCTTAGGTTGGTTTCATATATGTTCTGTCATAAAATGGAAACTGTATTTTTATCTCTGGAATCACCTATTGAATAACTGAAATCTGTATTTCAGGACAAGCTTAAGCTCTTAGTTGGGTTTACTCTCTAATACATCTGTTTATATTTACCCTTCAAATGGTTAATTTTGTGAAATTCACGGAGATGTTTCACCTATTGCAAGGGTGGTCTTCTTCTTTTGTGGTGGGGAACAAATTTGGTCATTTTCCCCAATGGGCCAGGGGAAAATGTATGTTTTTTTTTTTAAATGGAAGCAACTGGAAGTTCAATTCTAGTTTTGAGGGGGGAAACACACAAAAAAACAAAAACATGTGTTTGCATACACATATTTATTTATTTACTATCTTTATACCCTGCCCTTCTCAACCCCAAAGGGGACTGAAGGCAGCTCTATTCAATGCCTTAAAACAACATACAATTAAAATAAACATTAAAATTAAAATTAAAATTAATACACATTAAAACATTTTTAAAATTACATTCACTGTTAAAACCATGCTATCCGCAATCGTAATCCGGGGCCATTCCAGTAGTCATTGCACATATTCCGTATCCCATCTATGGCACTACAATTCTCTGAAAGCTTGATCCCAAAGCTACGTTTTCACTTTCCTTCTGAAGGCCAGGAGGGAAGGGGCTAATCTAATATCACTGAGGAGGGAGTTCCACAGCCAAGGGTCCACCACTAAGAAGGCCCTGTCTCGTCCCCACCAATCGCGCCTGTGAAGGAGACAGGATCAAGAGCAGGACCTCCCTAGAAAATCTTAATCTCCGAAATGGAGATGGAGATATGTATACTTGTAAGGAAGGCTCTGGTCTTTGCTATAAAGAAAAATAAACACTCTTGAAAGTTTTTAGGAACTTTAGTACTTCTTTTTGGAATCAAATTATTTGGTAGGGCAGAGAGATCCTGGGTGCCATTGCAGGTTGCCTGTCTCTGCTTTAATGCCACTCAGGAAGTAAGATGTTGTTCAGGGATGGTGTGTGCTTCCTTCAACTCACAGTGGTCTAATCTCATATCCAATACATTCCCTTGCATACTGGGCTATAGCAAGATCTGGCAAGATAGGAGACAACAATGATCTTCTTACACTGGGAGTGAGATGTCCATGGAGGCAGCCTGTGCTGCTCTTGCTAAGATGGTAGCAAAAGTTTTAAAAAAGTTTTGCATAAACACTAAAGTTACTTTCATGCTGCCATCATGCTGACAGAGTTGGACTTGACCCCTATTCTAATGGTGGCGTGTAACCAAAACAGGCCTATTCTACATCTTTATACAAACCAATTGGATTGGATTGCAACCTCTGCACAGCTCTAATATTAGGCCATCACCAAACTTGTAAACTTTATTTCTCTTTCTTGCTGAAACGTTTTGGTTTTTTTAAAAAAATCTGCAAACCCGGGGCCTCTTTGTTTTAACGTGTTCTGAAACCACAAAGGATTCTCTGCGTTGTCACCTATTTCTTTGCAGCGGTGTCGCAGCACGCTTTTTAACTAAACAACTTTGCCACATATATGACAGCTTGAAGTGCACTTGTTAGGACTTGTGGTTTGTGGGCCACATTTGACATTTAAAATTGTAAATAGTTTTTTTCTGTAATCATGTTGACCTAGCACAAAATACATCTGTCCATGCATTTATAAATAATTCTTCCATCTGTACATATGAGTGTATTGCTCATTGGCTGTACTTGCTGGAAGAGCCTCATAGTTGGTAGTCTGAACTGTTTTTCCCTGAGTTCTTTTTGTACCTTACTCTTCACTTGCAAAAATTGCATGTCAGCACAAGCAAGGCAGTCCTTCTCCCTTTAGCTCAGAATCAAAACATGCTTGGATTGTGTGTCTAGCAAACGTTTCCCAGTACCCATATGAATACAAAGATATATAATTGCATGTGACAATTATGAACTATTTGGATCTAAATTCCAATTGTTCACCTTGATTTTCATAGTGATTTTTTCAAACTTGAAGGGTTCCCTGCTTATTTAATTGTGTAAGGTAAAGGTAAAGGTTTCCCCTTGACATTTGGTCTAGTCGAGTCCAACTCTGGAGGGTGGTGCTCATCTCAGTTTCTATGCTGAAGAGATGGCATTGTTTGTAGACAACTCTAAGGTCATGTGGCCAACTTGACTGCATGGAGTACTGTTACCTATTGATCTACTCATATTTGCATGTTTTCGAACTGCTAGTCAGCAAATTCTGCAGTTTAGTGATTCAACCCGCTGTGCCACTGTGGCCCCCACTGGGTATTGCTAATTGGGTATAGCATTATTTATTGCATGCTGAATCGGGACACAAGCACTACGATAGGTTTATTAAGCACTAGCGTGATCAGAATGGGCATAAGATTATGGGAGATGTAGTCCCCAAATGTAACTTTTCAAATTCCTGCCTGCATGTGTCCCTGAATCCATATAATGGAGGGATGGAAAAAGTGTGGATCAATGGGCTACATGAAACTTCATGACCGTTTTGCAGCCCCTGAAGATGCAACAAAAATCAGGAAATAATTGGTTGGAAAGAGAAGAAAATCACGGAAACCACCGCAAAAATTTCACCTCTTTGCCTCCCACTGCCCTTAGCCCACCTCATCTCCTACAAGCTGGGGGGAAATCTGAACTTTGGTCAAATTCCAGAACTGGAGGGCATGTGGCTTATATTCTGTTTGTTTTGGGAGTGCTGATGAGCCTTCAAGAGAGGCATATGGTGAAAAATGCACCCTTTTCTTAATTACCTGTCCCATTCGGAAGACAATCATACTCGGCCACGAGTGATGGCCTATGATGATGGCCCATCCCACTACAATGTGTGTTAGTCTCTGTCCTGCCCATTGTAATGGAACTTAAAAATCTCAAGTAGACAAGATGTAGATGGATCTATGAACAGAATGTTTTATCAGGTCCATGTGTGTATTTTTAGCTGCGAAAAGAATTGTTGAACTGGGTTTTGAAAAAGTACCACTGGAAGAATCATAGAGATGGAGAAGACTACAAGGGCCATCCTTTCCATCTCCGTCCCAGGCAGGAAAACACAATAAAAGCACTTGTAACAGATGGCGATCCACCCACTATTTAAAAACCTCCAGAGACAGACACTCCACCACATGGTTATCATGGCATGGTTATCATGGCATGTCTTAACCTTCTCCATGCTAAACATACTCTTCATAGAGCTTGGTTTCCAGGCCTTTTGCCATTTTAGTGGCACTCCTTTGGACATATTTCAAGTTGTTGATATTCTTTTTGAATTGTGGCACCCAGAACTGTATCCAGCATTCAAGATTATGCCTGACCAAAGCAGAATAGGGTGACACTATTATTTCTATATATATACTCCAGGCCTGCACTTCCTGTGGCCCTCCAAGTGTTTGGAATTCAGACTCCCAGAAGCCATAGTCAACTTGTCCAATGGTCAGGAATTCTGGGAGCTGAAGTCCAAAACACACGGAGAGCTGCAGGTTATACAGGCTTGATATAGACACTGTATGGTTATTGATGCAACCTAGAATTGCATTGACTTTTTAAAACCTTTCTTCCCCTTTTTTCTTTATTTCTTTATTTCTTTATGACATTTATATGCCGCCCTTCTCACCCCAAAGGGAACTCAGAGTGGCTTACAAGGTATATATTACATACAATATATTATATTATTACTCTAGTACAATATCAGCATTAAACATTACTATATTGCACCATACCACTATATTGTAATATTATTAGTAATATTACATGTAATATAAATATACAATTATAATATCATATTATTAATATTATTATTATATTGCATTACATTATAGTATTATAAATTATAATCACTCATAAAGCTTACTCATAAAGCTCCAGGTACTGGGGTTGCAGCTGCTATCTCCTCTTCCAACTAAGTCTGACTCACATCCTCTCAATAGTTGCCCTGTTCCCACTGCAGGCCATTTCTCTCCCACCCCCAATTCATTTTTCACCCCATTTCCTGAAGCTCTTTGTGCCACAGGGGGAAATATATAGGCAAATATATGTGTGCACATTTTTCTCTCTCTCTAGGACAAACAGCCTACCTCTGGTGTGGGAATTAGACTTGGAAAATTACACTGATTGAAAGAGCTATATGACAGTGACATTAACACAGGGGGGACCCCTGCAAAGTCACCTTTTATAATATCAATTCACAGACATCAAGTTGTTCTTTATTTTTGCATTTGAAAGGGACAAAGATGCCCTGTGGCAGAAGTCAGATGCTCTGGAATTCCAGCAAAAACTCACTGCAGAACAAAGATGGCTTGGTGATGCAGAAGTAAACAGCTGCCTAGACTGCCAAAAAGAATTTGGCTGGATGAATCGTCGACACCATTGCAGGTCAGTCCGACTTGTTTGGTGAAACAATGCAGCAAGCAAGATGTTAGGTATTACAATTTCCCTAGAGGCATTTGTAAATAGTGTTGATATGTAGTTCTAAAAGGTTCTATCAAACTTCTAAAACATCTAATATAGCCACAACTACAGTCTATGTTACAGCCTAGAAAGGGCTTAGAGGTAGGAGACCCTTCTCTCCATTTCAACTGCCATTGCCTGTCCTCAAAGGGAGAGAAGAAGAGGCAATATCTGTTGGACAGACGCCAGGGAACTGTTTTCTTATTCTTTTACATGGAAAGTGATATGTACAGCGATGGTGCTATAGATAATGCTGTCAATGATATAACCTGAAGGTTGGCCACGAGGTGTGATTTGGCAGCAGCAGCAGCCGCCATAATAATAATAATACTTTATTTATACTCCGCCACCATCTCCCCAAGGGACTCGAAGCGGCTTACATGAGGCCAAGCCCAACAACAACATATCAATAAAAACAAAAAATTAATATAACTCACACATAGACAGTAACACACAAGGATTTAAAAACCTATGGCCAGGCCAGATGTAATAGTTAAAACTTTAAAATAAATGCTGGACATGAACAGAGGGTGTATCTAGTAGGAGGGTTTTAAACAAAATGTAAAGAACACCCCAACGGGTAATTAAAGTGCTTCTCAGGATATTTGCAKGGAATTGTTTCCTTTATTCAGGGAAGGCACAGTAGAACAGCCACATTTTCAGGCTCCTCCTAAAGACTGCCAATGTGGGGGCTTGTCTGATGTCCTTAGGGAGTGAGTTCCAGAGTCGAGGGGCCACCATAGAGAAGGCCCTCTCCCTCGTCCCCACCAATCGCGCCTGCRAAGGAGGTGGGAGCGAGAGCAGGGCCTCTCCAGATGATTGAAGAGATCACGTGGGTTCATATACAGAAATGCGGTCACGCAGGTAGGTGAGTCCCAAACTGTTCAGGGCTTTGTAGGTAAGAACCTGCACCTTGAGTTGGGATCGGAAAATGAACGGCAGCCAATGGAGCTCCTTAAACAGGGGGGTTGAACCTGCACATAATTGTTGTGGTATGTGTCAGAGCAGGGACCAGCCGTGTTGATGAATCCAGAAATCTTCAAGGTACTATTGGTTAGCTCATAGCATACTGTTAGTTTACATTCTCAGACTAAAGTATTTTAAGAACTTGTCTTGTATTGAGTTTTATACTTAAACCCTGACTCTCACCCTATTCAATCCAAAGGCGCCTATGGCTTCCATTTATAAGCAGCTGTGGCCACCCATAGTTCTTGCGGCTTCTGTGCCACCCATAAGCACAGGAAATTAAATTGAGAACATGAAAAGTTGAGGAAAAGGACAGAAAGGCAATTTGGATGGTCTGATTTTTAAGACATCTGTGTAAATGGTCAGAATAGCAAAATACGTCACTAGCATGTAGATAAGAAAACAAGGTTAGGTCACACATCTTTTACGGGGTACTTATTAACACACATTAGGAACTTGTGGTGTAACTCAGATTCCTGGATGTTTGAATGACCTCTGCACTAGCACATCCCAACTTTCTTACTAATTTTTCCAATAAAAGTGTTTATTTTGTAATTATGATGAGCATGAAATACCATCAGAAAATACCTTGTGTTGAGATGATGTAACCTTCTAATTATTTAATAATTGAATAAAAGGTTCAAGTCAAGGGCCTTAATTAACTAAAAAGGCTTTAACTGATTCACAAACTTAAGTATGGTAAAGCTTTGTACAGTTTGTATCACCAAGCATTATCCTGATCATAGATCCTAGTAGAATCTGAATTTTTTTCCAGTGGTATCAATTTGGAAGTGTGTGTGTGTTGGGCTTGCTTTATGAGTGCTATTGTGTGGAAAACAAAATAAATTATTAGTCTTTTTAAAATGTTTACATTTAATGTGAGTGCTTCTAGAGAATATATAATTTTGTAGTGATCTTACCTTATTGATGGGAGGGAAGTTTCAGATGCAGTTTCAGATGCGGTCATCTTGATCAGAGAAACAGTTTGGTTTAGTGGTTTGAGTGTTGACCAAGGACAGGAAACCAGGATTCAAATCTCTACTAAGACATGGAAACCCATTGGTTGTCTTTGGACACACTCTCAGCCTTTGAGGAAAGCAATGTTAAATCCCTTCTGAATAACACTATGTAACACGATTCTTGTTCTTGGATTATAAATGTCATTTCCTAATGGGTTCTATGATTTTAAAAACCATGGAAAAAGTTTATTAAACTGCAAAAAACTTGCTTTTTACGGTCTACACAAAAGGTTAAAAATGGTATATGAAAGGTTAAAATGGCACATTGAAAGGTTAAGTATGCCATCTGCAAAAATGAAGATTCTGGAGTATAACAACTACTTTTAAAGTAAGTACTGTATATACTTGAGTATAAGCGGACCCAAATATAACCCAAGAAACATAATTTTACTACAAAAAACTGGGAAAACTTAATGACTCAAGTATAAGCCGAGGGTGGGAAATGCAGCAATTACTGATAAATTTCAAAAATAAAAATAGATACCAATAAAATTACATTAATTGAGATGTCAGTAGGTCAAATGTATTCGAATATTTACCATATTTCAAAACAACAACAACAGTAAACTAATTCTGTAAGTGAAAAAGGAGGGTCAACAAAAACAATATAGTATCAACAATAACTTAATAATAGTAATAATAATAATAATAATAATAATAATAATAATAATAATAATAATTTATGTGTACCCCACCCTATCTCCCCAGGTTTCACAGGCCTGCCTGAAATGAAGGTATCCATTTTGACAGTTTTATCCACCCATATTTATTGCTACTTTGACCAGAATTTTTATAAAACTAATAGGCTGTAATTGCCCATTCAAAGCCAGATTACTCTGAAATATTTTGTATTTCAACATAAATAACTCACAATCAAACATTCATTGCATTTCCTTGGCTACTGTGAGGAATTCAGGTGAAATCAGAGGGATAAAAAGATGGAAAGAGAGTGGCAGATGATGTTATTGCCCCTGTTAATCCAATAATCCAAACACTTTAAATTTGAAAGTCTTATTTCCACTGGAATACTTGTAGCATAAAGGAAACCACCTCTGAAAACAACTGTAGTTTAATGTGTTTCCCCCCTGCTTATCAGAATGGGAAACTAGATCTGTACATTGCCCCTGTCAAGTGAGTCTTTCTGCATGTTGAATATAATGCTTTCAAATGCTTTCATTTTCAAATTTCATAGGGAACTGTTTCTTCCCTTTTTATATATGATTTTTCTAGATTGTGTGGACGCATCTTCTGCTACTACTGTTGCAACAACTATGCTATGTCAAAACAGACAGGCAAGAAAGAACGCTGCTGCCGATCTTGCTTTAAAAAAGCAAGTGACTCTGGATCAAATGTTACCCAAGAAGAACCAACATCAAGTTTGCTGGCTTCACCGTTGTCCTTGGTCCATAGAGTTATAGGTAGGCCCTTTCAATACATAAACAAACTACATTTATCCAGGAAATGTCCAATGGGCTTTGGAAAACCTTCTGTCAAATGCCACCTTTGCGTCTGCTCACATTGCTCAATATAGTAGGACTTCTTAGCTCACCCTGGAAGAAATACAAAATAACATTGGACATGTGCTGTGGCGACTGCTGTATGATGGGTTGCTTTTTTCATGTCAGGAGCGACTTGAAGAACTTTAAGCTCTGGTGTGAGAGAATTGGCTGTCTGCAAGGACATTGCTCAGGGGACGCCCAGATGTTTTGCCACGTTATGGGAGGCTTCTCTCATGTCCCCGCATGAGAAGCTGGAGCTGACAGGAAGTCACCCTGCTCCCTGGATTCGAACCCAACCTTTTGGTCAGCAGTCCTGCTGGCACAAGGGTTTAACCCATTACGGCACTGGGGGCTCCTTGTATGATGCTGACTTCCCAGAAGAACTGCCTTTATACTGCTCCTTGAAATTATTTTTAAAATTCTTATTCAAATTATGTAATGCAATAGGCTAAATAATAAGTGGACCACCAGTGGAGACAGCTTATGCAACATACTCCATTATTATTATTATTATTATTATTATTATTATTATTATTATTAATAATAATAATAATAATAAATTTTATTTCTACCCTGCCATTGTCTTCCCTGAAGGGACTCAGGTGGCTAACAAAATACAGCGAAGTGCCGCATATAAACAATTCATAAATGTAAAACAATAAAATCATAAAATTACAATCATGCACATACATAATTAAAATACAAAACATTAAAAAATTATAAAACACAGTCATAGCTGCGAATAAAAACAGGTTGTTTCTAATTGACACATACCCAGTGCCGAAGTGATGCCAACAGTAAGTCCTCAGACTAACCCTTAAAAATTTACAAAAGATCAAAGGCTTGTGTAAAAAGCCATGTTTTTAAACTATTTCCCAAGTATTACTATCATTTTTCCTTAAATTTCCCAGGCTCTCCTATCACTTCCGGTAGGGATGTGTGCTGTCAGATTCTTGACTGCCCAACTTGTTTAGCAAGTTGTCAGAAAACTGGTGGTGCCAGGAAGGAATGCACCTATTACAATAACCTGTGTTTTAAAACGTGATTTTAAACTGTTTTCTAATCTAATTTTAAATAACTGCTTCACTGGGGAGTCATCCTTCCTCTCCCAGGGCTCTTGTGCCCCGCTTTGTGCTGGTCGGTGACTGTAATAAAGTTTTGTATTGTATTATTGTATTGAGTGCACATGTACAGAATAATCCTTACATTTTTTTCTGTCCCAGCAAGGTAAATAGGGAAATGGAGTTAGTTCCTCTCCTTTCCCCCTAGCAATATAGATCAGGCATGTGGGTGCTTTAGCCTCACTTCCATCCCAGAAAACCTGCTCAAGATCACTGGATTCTTATTTAAATGTAAAGCTGCCTTGAAATCCCATTCCTGGGAGAAACGCAGAATATATATTGGATAGGTGAATGAATAATTGTCATGTTCCAGGACTCTCCTGATATCAAGGGCTGAGGTTTATCAAACAAACACAAAATGGGCCAAGACCACATTTCCTTGAATGGAAAACTAAAGCCTTAAGTCTTTCAAAAATCAAGATGCAGAGAGTACTACAGGACCATGTCAGGAGCAAAAATAAACAGTAACCAAGTTTGGAGTCCAGTAGTCAGGTGCCAGGAATTTACTTATCAGATTTCATAAAATAAGTCCAAGGGTACACACCGAAATTCAAGTCCATGAATCAAGTCAGGAGGTCAGTCCAGAAATTAGAGACCAGAACAGGATTGCAAGGCTCAAGAACAGAGTCCAGGATTCAGGATGCAACCAGAACAAGGTCAGGGCCCTAAATTCTAACCCGGGGCAGCGCAGTCAAGATCCAAGACATGAGTATGAAGGTACAACATTATCTGCTACCCAAGAGCTATCTCTTCCAGACCCCCTTTATCCAGAAATCTTAGCTACTGTGCATTTGAGCAAGCCTTTACAGATCATCACAGAAGCCTGTGATGCTTTTCTTGGCAAAGAGATCGAACCCATCATTTCCTAGCCCCAGTAACAGCCGAACCATACCAGGCAACTATTGTCCATGACACCAATCCATAAATCCCTTCTCACAGCTGCGATAAAATCCAGAGAAGTAGTCTGCTGCAGCCAAAAAAAAGGGAGGGGGGGCAGGGAAGAAACTTCTGGTAGCTTGCGGACTGACTGATTCATTTTGATAGTTGTGAACCAGAAGTGCAGAGGATGCATGGAGATAAGATGCCCTGTTTGGGAAAGTCCCAGTTAGATTCATGAGTGTGTGGAAACTGATGCTTGATAATGTGTCATTTTTTTTATGTAGGATAGATTCTGGTTCATCAACATTCAGGTCATATTATATCTGATATTCTTTAAGGAGTCAGAAGAGAGCTAGAATAATGTAGTGGTTTGAGTGTTGCACTATGACTCTGAAGACCAAGAGATGACTCCCTGCTCATCCATGACAACCCAAGGGGTGATATAGGACAGGTCGCACTCTCTCAGCCTAAGATAAAAGCAAAGGCAACCTCCCCCCCCCCCTTGAACAATCCTTGCCAAGAAAAACCCATTATAGATTTGCCCTTAGGGTCACCATAAGTCATAAATGACTTGAAGGCACACAACAAACAAACAAAGGTAAAACAAGGCAACTTTCTTGCTTAAATGCAGCCCACTAAAGTGTTCCATACCTGACTTATAGTAGCCGTGAACCAAGGGTGACTCTATAAATGTTCTTGGTTTAACACTCCCAACATTTTCCCTTTTGATATGTTGGCTAGGAGTAAATGGGAGGTGCAGTCTGACAAAATCTGGAGTCTTGAATTTTGTCAATTCCTGTGGAAAACCTATGTGGTTTTGTACATTCGGGTCCCTTCCCTTTCCTTTGAGACTTTAGTGATGTAGCTTGTATGTAACTGATCTTCATGTGCATAACAACATTTAGAATCTCTAAATTCTCATTCACATGTATGCTTCATTCACAGTCAGGCTGTCTCACAGGAATTGTAGAAATAAGTAGAGGGCAGAGGGAGACAGTTGGAAGCTAGAAATAAAGTATGTAATCTTCCAGTTCCCAAAAGGATTTCTGCCTCATGGAATGATGTAATGTTTCCTAAATGCTTTGTGATGGTATAACAAATTCTTATTTTTTTACAAGTTATTTCTTTTGTGCACTTGATGGCAAATCTTTGGAATACCCAAAGATTAGTATAAGAGAAGTCTGCCTGAGTTCAGGCCACACTGTGTATGTTCAGTGGAAAGATCCTTTGTCTTATATATAGTATTATAACTTCATTTTGCGTCTTCTTTTTTTCTGGCACAGTTACAAATGAAGCCTCTAAACCCACAGATGATGCAGTGTTTGATATAATCACAGATGAGGAAGTGGGTCAAATACAGGAGAGCGACAACAAAAGCCAAACTGAAGAAGCATCTCTGGACCGTAGCATTACTGATCTGTGAGTACATTGTTTACAGATAGAATTAGAATCACAAATCTTTCACACACTAGTTTCTCTGGTGTCAAAATTATGTACAGTTAACCCACTGCATTGGCTGGATGTTTAGGCGCTGGACATCTGTGAATGTGAAAAACTGCAAATAAAAAAATCACCCGAGAAAACATTTCTCTAGAAGTCTCCTGCTAAAGGTTGACCATAGAATTGCTCTACACTGCTTAAAGTCGTCTTCTCTGTAGGAATCTCTAGATCCTCTAGTACAACTCTGTGGTCAAATTTTGCCAGAAATTGCCCATAGAATCACACTTGTGGACCTAGAGATTCCTAGAGATAACATTTTAATCAAATCCGTGGATAATCAAATCCAAAAAAGTAAGACCTGCAAACGTGAAAGGTCAACTCTATACTTTTAGCAGACTCTTCCTTCTCCAACTTGATGCCTTCTAGGCATGTGGATTGGCATCTCCAGTAATCCCTAATCATCATAGTCATGGGATCATTGTGTGCAAGGCTAGAACATCAGGATATTGAAACATTATGAGGCTCACAGTAGGATCTCTTATTTTGCCCACATATTGATTCTTTGTTGTTGTTGTTGTTGTTGTTGTTGTTGTTGTGAAGGGTCATTCCCCACACACACCTTCCTGCCACCAGCCAGATTGAAAATGGGAAGTGAAACAAAGTAACTTCTTTAAAGTGGAGGAATGGGAGATATTTTTAGGAAAGTATTGGGGGGGGGGTGGAGGAATTTATGTTCCCATTCCACCTCTCAGTCTATTTATGTATGTTCTGCCCCCTACATTTTCTGTTATGCTATTAGACTCTGGCAGCAGGGATTTGTTGGGGTGGGTATAGTTTTTTTTAAAAAAAAGATTTTGAATAAGAAAAAAAGAAAGGAAATCATGTCTTTTTCCTGACCATTTGGAATGAAATAGATATGTATGCATACTGTCCTCAAAAAAAAAGTTAGGGACAGTGCTACGTCTTTCCTTTCATTGTTAATTCATTGTTTCTCTTCATCAAAGAATATAGAAGTCAACACATGGAACAATTCATTTTGTCCATCGCTGTTTGGATTACAATGGTCAACACATTTGGTGCCTCAAATGTTTAGCCTGTTTCTCTATATATTTGACCCGCTGCTTCCAAAAATGGCACTAGTTTTGCCCCATCAGCTCTAGTTTTTGAGATACAGAACATATGCTATATGCTAGCCTTTATCTGCTTGCCCATAAAAAAATCATGATAACCATATCTAAAAATCTAGAGCTTATGCGGTCTATGCAGAGCAATTTTTTGAATCATCACCTGCAATAACCACAGTAGCAGTTCTAAAAACCAAGACAGCAAGAATTTTCTTTTGGTTGGGCTGTGTTATGAAACAAAGGAAGAGAGTCTTTGTTTGGTTTTGACCCAGTCTTTTGAAGCTAGGATGCCTGTCTTTAGGCATCTCCTTATTTACCTTAAGATAGCTATCAGCTAGCCTTCTGCAAGTGCCCCACCAACTGAGAAGCGGTCATCTTAATGATGTCATCCCATTATAAAATGCTCTCCTGGAAAGTGTAACCAAGTCCCTATGCTGTCATCTTTCTCCAGACAAAGATAATTATATTTTTCTAAGGATTAGGGTGTTTTTTATACTGTTGTGCTGGATATGATTCATTGCTTTTTTAATGAAAGATGATTTGAAAACCAAATTGTATTCCTTGCTCTCGATTTTACTGTAAACTTTCCTGGAAATTTGTATCTATATTGTGTGTGTGTGTGTGTGTGTGTGTGTGTGTGTGTGTGTGTGTGTGTGAACGTATGTGTGTTTGTACTACAAAGGTTCCTGTATGGTTTGATGGAACTGGACCAAACTTGGCACATACAGTTTTTATTATCCAACCTAAAATAATTGGGGGTTTGAATAAAAAAGCATCCTGTTTTGGAAAGAGCCCCCCCCCCAAAATAAAAATAAAATGTATATAGCACTCAGATTCAACCACTAGGGGGAAGTGTATAGATAGAAAGGATTCCCCCTAGTGCTTGAATCTGAGTGCTGTATACATTTTATTTTTATTTTGCCACTTGCAGACAAAATGCAGTATAAGATCTCCCATGAGACAGCCCTGACAGTCACAGTCGAGACATGTACCCCATAAGGAAGTAAGCAATTTAATAAAGATTCGTGTTTTGAAAGGGTTTGTGTGTGTGTGTGTGTGTGTGTTTGTGCCTGTGCCTTGCTCTGAGGCTGACAGACTATGACTCCTAGGCAGACTGTTCAGCCAACTGCCTGCCTGACTGCTGGGGTAACCATGCTGAACATGGTTGAAAGCTGAATTCTACTTTAGTTTGTAGAGACAGGGAAACATCACCTTGAAGCATTTTTCAGGCAGAAATTAATAGAAAATTTATGGGTAGGCCTTAATAGTTTGGCCATATGTAGTGATTATCAATTATTGTTCTTCTTTGACTTCTTTGTTGGAGTATCTGATGAGGCAACACTTTATACTTGAAGTAGAAGACATAAGGCAGGATGCAACACCGGACTTCTGCTACCAGACCAACAGAATCCATTTGTAGCAAGAGAAGGAATGATCTCCTCTTCCCACTGCGTCCCCTCCCCATCTACTCAAAGTCTGGGGAACCCTCTGAAGCCATTTTCCTGGCAGTTGTGTAGGCTTTGGGTGGAAGGGGAAGGGAGCAAAATTCTGTCACAGTTCGTGTTGGCTTTAGATCCCTGTCAATATGTTTCACATCCACTCCTACTTATGGTGATGTCTTGGGAAGATTTATTCAAAGGAGGCTTGTCATTGCTTCATCTAAGGCTAAGAGTTTTTGACTTGCCCGATGTTGATTAGTGGGTTTATGTGGCTGAGCTGTTGTCTAAACCTTGGTCTTCTGGTTATAGTAGTATCTAGTCAGATCACAACTCCATGCCAGTCTATTCAGGTCCATAGGTATATATGATAAACATCCCTTTGCCCTAGATTTCTGAAAGTTATTGCTAACTTTCAGAGTGCTGGTTTTAACCTATAAATCCCTATACGGTTCCAGCCCAGTTTACTTGTCCGAACGTATTCTCCCCTATGAACCATCAAGGACGTTAAGACCTTACGGAAAGGCCCTGCTCTCGGTCCAACCACCTTCGCAAGCGCGTTTGGGCCTTCTTTGGGGTGGCCCCTTAGCTATGGAACTCTCTCCCAAGCGAGATTAGATCTGCCCCTCCCTCTTGTCCTTCAGGATCCTGGTTATGGAATGAAGCATTCCCAGAATAATGGCTGAGACTGGTTACAGAGACTGAGACTGGTTACTTGTCTGAGACTGGTTACTTGTCCTTCAGGATCCTGGTTATGGAATGAAGCATTCCCAGAATAATGGCTGAGACTGGTTACAAAGTGAGTGACCACATATGCGGACTGAGTTGAACATGATTTTACCTTGGCAATTTGGTATATATGTATTTTATCTATATGTATTTTAATCTTGTATTGTTGTATGATGTTTTAACTTGTATTAGTAGCATTGAATCCTTGCTGTAAGCCGGTCTGAGTCCCTCTGCAGAGGTGAGAAGATCGGGATATAAAAGTTTTAAATAAATAAATAAATAAATAATAAACTGAACTAGAAAACATTGTAGCAATAGTCTAAATATTAATCAGAGGAAGGCAGCATTGCATGTTTTCTTGGAAGAATGAACTTAGATATATAAACAAGAGGATCATGAACTTAGCTGAATGAATGAGAGAAACATGATATGCTTTTTTTTGTGCCTGAACATTCAAAGTTTAATGTCTTTTTTAATTATACTGCTATGAAAGGCAAGTTAAAACATTTGCAAACTCTTTTATCTATAAAGCCTATAGTGCTCCCTTGGAAGGTTATTTGTACCATCTGCATTCTGAGAGTACATGTCAATGAACTGCCAGGCCTGAACTCTATAACACTGCTGTATAAGTGAATGGAAATCAAACTTTTCTCAGACTTCTATAGCATTAGACGTAGCGTACAATAAAGTTTTGTAGAAATTCCTTGCAGAGAAGGAACTTCTATCATTCTTATAAACTAAACATATCTTGAGAAGATGCAAACACGTGTCTTCAAATTACCTTCTACATGGCATTTGCTTTCGAGAGCAATCAGGGTGCCTAGAAATAAAACAGCGCTGAAGACATTGACGAATACCGTCCAAGATGCTCTTACAATTGATACATGCTTGTTTCCTCCATGTTATGTGTGTCAGTACAGGTTTTTGAGATATCCTCGTCAGTTGTTTGTCCTTGCTTTGTGATCTGTTGTTTAATGCATCCAAATTTTTTAAGAATTTTTGCCAAGTTCTTCCGAAACTTCACACCAATAAAGAAATAGAGAATAGGATTAAGACAACCGTGGAAATAGGCAATTGCTTCGGTTATGACCAAGCCGTAGTCAAAACTGAAATCCATAGCAACACGCTGGTCCACAACACGGGTGATTTTCAAAATGTTGTAGGGGGTCTGCGTCAGAATGAATGTCACCACAATTGCAAATATTATTTGCAAGGATTTGTGTTTGTGGAAGCCCCTTGCTTTGAATAAAGTGTTCGCAATGATAGAGTAGAAAACAACCATGACCACTATGGGAAGGAGGAATCCAAGAACCATTTGTATTATTTCTGTGAACTTGTGTGCGTCTTCTGAAGGATAACTTGAGTGACATACCTTTTTGCCATAAGAGGCTTCAATACTAAATATAAATTGCGGCATAGCAAATGCCAGAGAAATCACCCAAACTAAAATGCAGGCTGCAGTACCCCAGATTCTTCTTTTGGCTTGGCTGACATGGGCTTTAGTAGCTTGGACAATCGCAAAATACCTGTCAATCGTTATGCAAGTAAGGGTGAGCATGGACCCATACAGATTCATTGTGTAAAGGCCTCTGATGAGTTTACATGGTAAAGTGTGAAATATCCATTCGTCAGCTGCCATATAAGCCCAGAATGGCAGTGTACAAAGAAAGCACAGGTCAGCAATAGCCAAGCTCACTAAAAAGATGTCACTTAGCACCTTCACTTTCTCATAGAAAATCAGAACGATAAGAACCAAAGAGTTCCCTGATATCCCAACGATACATGTAACTGAATACATGCAAACTAAGAAGATTTTGTTAAACTGTAGGAACATTTCACGTTTGTTCTTGTCCTGCTCAGCTGTCATGCTGAGATATTCATAGTAATCCTCATCCTCGGTCTCCATGAGTTTCCTTTCTTCAATACCTGCAATCACACACATTTGAAAATTACCTTACATTTGTTAAGTTTCTCATATAGCTGTAAATCAAATCCTAGCAATCCCCACTTGGGGTCACCTTCTTGCCATTATGGGGTAGGTGCCAATCAATGCTGTGAAATATTCTCACGTTGGACTTCATTGGGTTTTTGTTTTGCCCCAAACCATAGTTCCTTTCAATCCCTTTTAAGGATAAAAGTAATAAAAAGTCGCTTTTTCTGTTTCTGAATCATATCACTGGATATTAAACATGATAACAGTCAACAAACCTTTGAGAGTATTGCGCCTTGAAAAATGGGAGCTGTACTTCACGAGCTAACTCCACAGTCCTTTAGATTTTTCAAGAGTTGATGTCTTCTGGACCCTGAAAGAAAGTAGTGCCTTTCAAACTGGGGCCCCTTCCACACAGCTGTATAAAATCCACATTGAACTGGATTGTATGACAGTGTGAACTCAGATAATCCAGTTCAAAGCAGATATTGTGGAGTATCTGTCTTGATATTCTGGGGCAGCAGCCAATGTTATATGGTTGTGTGGAAGGGCCCTGAGTTGCAATCTGAAGTCTTAGGCTCCTTCTACACTGTCATATAAAATCCAGATTATCTGCTTTGGCACTGTAGACTTACATAATCCAATTCAAAGCAGATAAAGTGGATTATCTGATTTGATAATCTGGATTTTATGGTAGTGTAGAAGGGGCCTTAGAGAGCAGGGATGAGGAACATGTGACCCTCCAGCTGTTATTGGACTGCATCTTCCATCATCTCCTTGCTGGTGCTGGTTAGCACCAATGGGAGATGCAGTCTAGCAACACCTGGGGACACATGCATTTTCTTCTTGAGCAATGTCTGAGTAAGCCCTTTTACCAAAATAGTTTCACACCATTATTATTTTCATACAATGGTAATGAGTCTTCAATCATCATTTTCGATGAAGGCTCCTTCGACGCTGCCATATAAAATCCAGACTATCTGATTTGAACTGGATTATATGGTAGTGTAGACTCATATCATCCAGTTCAAAGCAGATAAGAGGTTAAACCCTCCAGATGTACACTCTAAACTGTCTGTCCCTTCTCCCCTTCCAGTCTTCTTAGTGGGAATTTTTCACTAAAGGAAAAAAATGTTTGACTTACCTTTGGATGGAAGCTGATGCTCATGCAAAAGACTGTAATGTTCCTTTGTGGGATTAATATAACTCAAAAACCACTGGACGAATTGGCACCAAATTTGACCATAATACACCTATCAGGCCAACAAGTGACCATCACTCATAAAAACACTGAAAAACACAGCAGAAGGGACTTAAAAGCCAAAAAAAGCAAAAAGACACTGCAGTACATGCACAAAAACAACTCGCCCTGGCAAACAAAACATGATAGCATATCCACACACTCTTTCAGACTACAGCTCCTAGCATCCCCTAGACCAGGCCCTTTAGGAGAGGAGGATGACCCAAACGCACTGCTTCCAAGCTGCAAACTTTCTTCTTCTTGGATCTCTTTGAGAACATCCCAGTTCCTGCATATTTCCAATTTCCTATTCCTGGACTGCAACTCTCAACAATCCTCCAGACAGATAGATTAGATAGCAGTAGGTAGGTAGGTAGGTAGGTAGGTAGGTAGGTAGGTAGGTAGGTAGGTAGATTGATCAGGAGGACTGCTGGGAGTTACAGTCTTCTAAGTGGCTCCCAATTAGTTTGATTCTTTTTATTTGCATTCTTCAGTATTTGCGATAATTTGTCCATATTCATATATTTAGTCAACGAATTTACAGAAGGAAAACTCAATTCAAAACTGTCCCTCTGCGGATCRAACCGGAAGAAATCTAAACCTCTTTTCTTTTTCCCCTTATCCTCCCACATCCCTCTCYTTTACCCCCTCTCTCTATCCCAATCTATTCACCCTCTCCTCAAACACCGCTCCTCTAATTCTTTCCTAGTTTCCTACTTTTCTCTCCCCAACCTTATTGTTCCCCCTCTTTCATTGTAATTTGAAAATAGTAGACAATAAAKATGATTAATAAAAAAAAGAGAAGGAAGGAAGGAGAGAATGAAAGAAAAAAAAAGGAAGGAAGGAAGGAAGGAAGGAAGGAAGGAAGGAAGGAAGGAAGGAAGGAAGGAAGGAAGGAAGGGGGGAGGGAAGGAAGTGAGAAAGAAAGGAGGAGAGAAACYGGGAGGAAAGGTTGGCCACAGCAATGCATGGCGGGTACAGCTAGTGTGTCTGTATGTATTATGTATGTGTATGTCTATCTATCTATCTCTTATATATGTCTTAGTCCCACTTCAGGTTTGAAGTGACTTGAAGGCATGCAACAAATACAACAACAACAACAAGTAAACAAACTTGGGAGGGGGGACCTGCAAACCAAATAGCAGGAGAGAAAAAAAAACATCTGGGTATGTTTATTTCAAGGCATCTCCCCTCCATCATTGTCTCCCTTTCAATGTGGGGCAGAAAGTAGGCAGTCACTGTGGGGGTAACTGGCTGCAAAGGGTGGCTAGCACAGCCCTCCACAGAAGCAGCCAGGCCCAAATGCCTGGATCTCTAGGGTCCCTCCTCAAACCAGGCATTGGGGGCAGGACTCTGGAAGACAGATGGTACTGCTGCCCCAGCTGTCCAGAGCAAGGCTTTTAGAGGCTGTCCAACTCTGAAAAGCAGTATTGCTGTTGTTTTTCTGCTATGAACATGCTGCAGCAGAAAAACAACAAGAGCATCTTTACAGAACTTGCCATGACTCAGCTCTGGAAAAGTGGATTGAACACTTTTCAGCTGCAGCATTTGACATAGTCAAAAAGCAACCTTCTCCAGAATGTCAGCAGGGAAGCCTCCTATGAAGGGCAATTCACCAAATCTCATGCTGTACCATCTCAAGCAGTCATCTTGCTCTTTCTGGTGTCAAGGCTAGTCACACATTTCTCACAGTGCCAAATTATAGACAGTTTGAAAGACAACTTCATAAGTTAATAAACTCTCTTTCATTAGGCGTTTTTAAGCAAAGGCTATATGGTTATATCTTGGGAATAGTATAACACAGTTGGCCCTCTGTATCCATATATTCAAGCATCCATGGTTTAAAAACATTCCACCCACCCAAAATCCAAAAAGCAAACATCGATTTTGCTATTTTATATAAGGGAAAGTATTTTACTAAGTCTTCGTATATAATGGCACTTGAGTATTTGTGAATTTTCATAAATTTTAGGGTTGAAATCAAAACCCAGCAGATACCAATGACCCACGGTACTGGATTTCCTCCATTAATAGCATTTGGACTTGACTACCCTTGGGGCAGTGGCCACTGGTTGCTTCTATGTCACTGCGGCAGTTAATCTACTCTAGGTTTTATGCCAAACTATTAACAGAGCTATACAAAGTTCTAAAAATTAGTTCTGAGCCTTGAATTCCTCCAAAATTTGCACCAAAATCTAGAGCTGATTCACTGTTCTAGTGATACGGAAGCAACCATCACTACTTTGAGATACTTTCTAACCAAGGAACTATACTAGGCTTTGTTGATCCATTTTTTCCATGGAAAATATTTTGATCTTGTCACCTGCATCACTACTACTCGGAATTTAAAAGGGTTTGAAGATTAATGACAGTAGTGAGAGACATAGTCATAGCAGGATGAGAGGTAAACTTTTTTCTGTATCATAGAACAGAGAAATAAGTGAGAAAAGGGCACTTCATCACAAATGCTTTGGTAAAAGGAAAGATCATGCTTCTTTGAAAGCTGTGTCAGAATCATGAAAGGTGGAATATAAAGGATGTTGTACTGCTGAAAAATAAAATGCATTCTTCTTTCAATCAAATTGATTTTTGAACACTTGTCCTTTTGAAAAGTTGAGACATTTATTATAATATAGGTTTGCAGAAATATGAGACATCTATTATAATATAGGTTTGCAGAAATAAGAGATAGTCCCTTACCTTTCCTTGGTAAAGTGTTGTCTGCTCAGTGTCAAACACAACTTGGTGATTGCGTTATTGGTGCTGAAGCATATTTATGAGAGTTATCAATGGTTTCCTGTTGCTGATGAAGCACATACCCACAGAACCCCTTCTACAACAGGATTTAAGTCATCAGAACAGATCTCTTAAGTAGAGCAGGGCAACTCTGAAAACCTCTCTCTTTGTTAAACTCTGTAAACATATACCTCCTTGTGCATACACAAAATCATATTTCAAATATGACAAATACAGATACCTAATAATTGCATCAATATAAAATAGCTAGATTGCAAATAAAATAGAAATGCAAGGTGTGTTTAAATTAAAAAGATCATGTTGAGTTCCAGTGGCAACTTATCCAACACTAATCTTGGGAAAACAAGAGGCATTTTGAGAAGGAGGACCACAGTTGAAGAAAAGTTATTTTTGGTAACCTGAGTCACTTGGATATGGAGTGGAGGCAAGCTATTCTAGTCGCATGCAGCGGCTGTGGGATGTTCATCTTCTTGACAGAACACCTAGTAGTAGTAACAACAACAACACTTTATTTATATTCCGCCCTTCTCACCCCAAAGGGGACTCAGGGCGGATCACAGTACACATACACGGCAAATGTTCAATGTATAGACAATACACAGACAGAACAGAAGGAGGTGCCATGTAAGGTTGGGCTCAAGTCCAGGGGGTGCTGTTGCTCCATCCTCTATGACTTCCTCCTTCCTTTTGGTCGCCCAACATTTTCTGATCTTCTTTCTTAATGGCGTCGTAAAACACCTCCCCTGCTTTTTAGCGGTACCTAATTTCTCGAATCACAGCTAAAGCTGTTTTTGAATTGCTTAGATAAACAATGAGCTAGGCTGACAGTTGGCAGCTCACATCAACCCGGGGATTCGAGCTTGCAACCTTTTGGTTGATAGATCTTATAATTGGTGATGATTTACCAGCTGTGCTAAACATCTGCAACAAATACAAACAGCTCACTTTAATGAAAGAGAGGATCCAGCAACTCAAGATCCAGATTGAGGCACTTAAGGACATTAGGAACTTGAATTTTTCTTAGCTATAGCCCAGCAGACTATTCTAGATACACAACCACATCATTTCAGGGAGGTTTTTCTCAGGCTGGATCTACACTGCAATATAATCCAGTTTCCAAATCTATATTATTTGCTTTGAACTGGATTATATGAGTCTACACTGCCATATAATCAAGTTCAAAGCAGCTAATCTGGATTCAGAAACTGGATTATATGGCAGCGTAGATTGGGTCTCAGTTGGGGTAAAGTTCCAGCCTCTATCTATGCACTCCACCAATGATTGTTCGCCACAGTCATGGCAATGGGATCACAAGGAGCATGGCTTGCAGACCTTTGTGGTTATCCCCTGAGCTTGCTTTAATCCAAAGAGCTCATTTTTGCTGGCCCAAAGTTATTTAGAACAGTGATCGGCATCCCCCCGCTGCAGCAGATAACTCAAAGGAGAGCATTGCAAACTGTCATATCCATCCCAGAGATCCCCCAGATAACATGCATATTCACTTCATCCGGAAGACTTCTTATACCCCTCCAATATTATTTTGTGGCTCATTATCCATGTAATATTTGCATTAGGAACAATTTGCATTAGGAACAAAATCAACCTCTGTACATGGCATTCATTGACCTTGGAAAGGCATTTGACACAGTGTATTGCAGTGCTCTCTGGACCATCCTCCAAAAAATCGGATGCCCTAACAAATTTGTGAACATCCTACAGCTCCGACATGATGCCAACAGTCTTGGACAGCAGTGGCTCCCAAAATGACCCATTTAAAGTGGAATCAAGTGTCAAACAGGGATGTGTTATTGCCCCATCCTTATTTTCCATCTTCATTGCTATGATACTTTATCTTGCTGATGGGAAGCTTTCCACTGGAGTGGAAGTCATCTATCAGACAGATGGCAAGCTATTTAACCTCAGCAGACAGAAAGCCAAAACCAAGGTTACAACAACATCTGTTATAGAACTCCAATATGCTGATGACAACGTTGTCTGTGCGCATTCAGAAGACCTACACATCACACTAAACACTTTCACAGAAGCATATGGGAAGCTCAGCCTGTTATTGAACATTGAGAAAACCAAAGTGCTCTTCCAGCAGTCATCAGCCAATCCCTCTCTAATGCCAGAAATACAGTTTAATGATGTAACATTAGAAAATGTTGACCATTTCCACTACCTTGGCAACCACCTCTCCACAAAAGTAAACATTGACACTGAAATACAACACCTCCTGAGCTGTGAGTGCAGTATTTTTCTGAACGAAACACAGTGTGTTTGAGGACCAGGACATCCATAGTGATACCAAGGGCTTGTTTATAAAACTATTGTCCTCCCAACCCTGCTATACGCTTGCGAGACGTGGACTATCTACAGATGTCACATGCAACCCTTGGAACGATTCCATCAACGTTGCCTTCGAAAAATCCTGCAAATCTCTTGGGAATACAAGTGGACAAATGCCAGCTTGCTGGAAGAAGCAAAGACCACCAGTATTGAAGCGATGGTCCTCCGCCATCAACTCTGCTGGACCAGCCACATTGTCCAGATGCCCAACCTCTGTCTCCCAAAGCAATTGCTCTACTCTGAACTCAAAAACGGAAAACGGAATGTTGGTGGACAAGAAAAGAGATTTAAAGATGGGCTCAAAGCCAACCTTAAAAACTCTGGCATAGACACTGAGAACTGGGAAACTCTGGCTCTTGAGTTCTCCAGCTGGAGGTCATCTGTGACCAGCAGTGCTGTAGCATTTGAAGAGGCACAAATGGAGGGCGAAAGAGAGAAACATGCGGAGAGGAAGGCACATCAAGCCAACCCCGACCGGGGCCACCATAGGACTCCACAGTCACCTACATAACCACCACTAGTACACCGATCTAAGAAGACAATCCTACTCGGACAATGAGGGATCGCCTAAGGAAGGAGGAAGCTTGCTGTCTTAATAGCTCAAGGAGCTTGGCATTTTTTGTCCCCAGTAGAGGGGCAGAGGGAGTAACCAGGCTGTTAAGAAAGATGATCTGATTCGTCAGTACTGCAAAGTCTCGGTTCTTTTGCACTGGTAATCTAACTGAATTATTCCATTTACATATCCAAATAGAGATTCAAAAGACTGAATGCTCCTCTACAGAATACTTTTCCCAGGATACAAAAAAACAGGTTATTGAGGAGAAGAATTCTTAGCAGTGAGTTATGTATTTAATTATGCAAGCCCTTTGCAGAGATCTGAAGCAATCCAGCCCAGACAGAGGTTTACCACTTCAGTGACAATTCAGTACACCACAGCAGTGACCTACTTTTTCATTTGTGAGCTGCTTTTTTTAAAAAAAATACCATATAGATAGATAGATTCCTGTGATGAAATGTATTAAGGTTGCTTGTTTTTTTTAAAAAAAAAAAAGTCTGCAAAACCTCACAAAGGATGAATAGTTCTGGAATTTTAGTAAATTTTAAAATTTACAACTTGCATCTAATTTAACAAATATATTTACAAAATATATGAGAAAGCTAGAAATATATTCAGATGTCTAGAATGTCCTTCTCAATGTTCATTTCCCAAAAGCTGTCAGTAAGGACAACATGAATGCTTCTCTAGTCATTGCAGAGCATTGGGTTCATAGAGTTGAAAAATGTTCATATACTAATTTCAGGTCTCAAATGTTTTCTATATTTTTATTGATGTAATTTACATTTTGCCTCCTTTCCAGCATAAGACCCAAGACAATTTACTATATAATATATATTTTTTAGAAAATGCAATTAAAACTATATCTTGTCAGAAAGTTAAATAATATTGTTGTATGCCTTCAAGTCATTTTCCAATTTGTAATGACTCTATTGCCGGGTTTTCTTGGCAAGGTGTGCTTCCCCCAAAGGCTTTATTTATTTATCATGTCAGGAGCAGACCAAACAGTTGTGTAGCATTTTTTAACAAACAAACAAACAAACAAACAGACAAAACACAAAAATTGCAAGCTTGGTAGTTGATTAAATGTCCTTTGACCAGTATCTGGCCACTTGGAGTGCTTCTGGTGTTGCTGCAAGAAGGTCCTCCATTGTGCATGTGGCAGGGCTCAGGTTGCATTGCAGCAGGTGGTCAGTGGTTTGCTTTTCTCCACACTCACATGTCTTGGATTCCAGTTTGTAGCCCCATTTCTTAAGGTTGGGTCTACATCTCGTGGTGCCAGAACGCAGTCTTTTTAGCACCTTCCAAGTCGCCCAGTTTTCTGTGTGCCCAGGGGGGAGTCTCTCATTTGGTATCAGCCATTGATTGAGGTTCTGGGTTTGAGCCTGCCACTTTTGGACTCTCGCTTGCTGAGGTGTTCCAGCGAGTGTCTCTGTAGATCTTAGAAAACTATTTCTTGATTTAAGTCATTGACGTGCTGGCTGATATCCAAACAGGGGATGAGCTGGAGATGTCACTGCCTTGGTCCTTTCACTATTGGCTGCTACTTCCCAAAGATCACCCCCAAAGGCTGAGCGAATGTGAAAGGCTGGGAGAAAGGCTGAGAGAATGTGACTTGCCTAAGTGGGTTTCCATGGCAAAGTGAGGATTTGAACCCTGGTCTCCAGAGCCCTAGACCAGCTTTCAAAACATCATACCATACTGGCTCTCTAAATAACATTAAATTGCATTAATATACAGTATAAACCTTGTATCCATGAGTGCTACCTACTGTGGAAACAGGAAATTGGATAATAGTCAACCCCTACTGAAATACAGTAAGTGACTTCAGCTGGAAGTTACTTTAGAGTTGCCCTGAAGAATCACAATTGGTTGCAGTTTCTCAGTTTTCTTCTGCAGCATATTTGAAGATAATTTGTTTTTCTTTTATTTCACACACTATTATTTGGTCCAGATTACAGCTGGATAAATCGTTTTCCCATATTCGTTTTAAATTTTATTTCTCAAGGAATTTGCAACTTTTACCAAAAATGAATCCAACTCACTGTTCCTCCAGTTCAGTAGTTCCCAACCTTTGGTTCTCCAGGTGTTTTGAACTTCAGCTCCTACAATTCCTTACACCTGTTAAAATGGGTAGGATTTCTGGTGGTTCTCAACCTGTGGATCCCCAGGTGTTTTGGCCTACAACTCCCAGAAATCCCAGCCAGTTTACCAGCTGTTAGGATTTCTGGGAGTTGAAGGCCAAAACATCTGGAACCCACAGGTTGAGAACCACTGAGAGGACCAAAGTTTGGGAACCACTTCTCTAGTTGCAAGTGTCAAACTGTATTAGTACAGTTAGTTCATTTTGTTTGCATCAACCCTTTGCAATTTTAACAAGTCCCACACTTGTCATAAATATAGAGTATTGATTCCATCATAATACTGATACTTAAAAAAATGTATAAAATTATATATACTAAAACCAGAAAGTTTTGGCAAGTACATAAAGCATCTGGGTGTGTTTTAAGTGAATGTGTGCATTTAAAAAGATTTCACTGTAGCCCTATTGCATAGCAGTTCAGGAATAGTTCTTCGCAGCATTTTGACTATTGCATTTGTAAGACAGGTTTCCTCCAACAAGTTCATGGAGGAGCAGATTGCAATCTTTCTTCCCATCTTGTTTCAAACAGCCTTTGAAGGCAGGCCAGGAAGAGAAAATGATCAACCCAAAGTCTTCCAGATAGGTTTTTGGCACATGCAGGGTTGCACACCAGAGAAATATAATGCCAGGCTTTTTGGAGGTAATACCTCAGTGATCTACTGCCATCTAGTGACATCTAGCCATCTTCTTTATAATGTAAAATTACCAATAAGAATAATTTACAATGCTGCATGCTGCTACAAACTTTAAAACATTCTAAAAAGTCCCACTTCTGCCTTACAGATGGAGTGCAAACATTTTAAATAGTCAAATTAATGAGTAATGTAATGTAAACAATTTGATTTTGTGGTAGAAAGCAACTTTGTACAATCTTGCATCCCTGTTAGATGTAGATGACTTTTTAAAATGATCAGTTGTTTAAATGTATCATAAATTTGTTTTGCGGGTCATGGCAAAGTATAAACATACATATATGTGTGTGTTTGTGTGTGTATATATATCAATCAATCAATCAATCAAGAATGGGCATTCCTGGAAACTTTTAGGACGATATTGAATGATGGTCTTCTTTCTCTCTGTCCCAGAAACAGCACAATTAGTTCCTTAACGTTTGATGAGTCCGATGACTTGCAAATGACCCAAGACGTGGAAATATGCTTGCTGAAGTCTGGAGAACTGATGTAAGCAAAACCTATTATTTGGTCTGTCATTCTTAAAAATTAAAAGCATAAACATAGCCACTCAGAAGCAATTTCCATTGAGTTTAAAGGTATATATGTGAACAAAACTCCACTGGATTTTTGAAGCCGTTACATTTAGGCAATTGATGAAAAATTGGATCCAAACCCAAGCTGAAAAACAAATATTAACTATTTTCATATTCTTTTCATTTTCAAAATGTTGCTTTGTTTGGTATAGGTTGAGTATCCCTTATCTAAATTGCTTGGGACCAGAAGTTTTTGGATTTCAGATGTTAGAACATCTGTATTTGTGTACATGTCCATGATAAGACATCTCAGAGATGGGACCCAACTCTAAACATGAAATTTATTTATGTCTCATACACTCTATGTAATTTTAACACCATATTTTTAATAATTTTATGTATGAAAAAAGTTTGTGTACCATCCAAAAACTAAGAGGCGTCACTGTCTTAGCCTTCCATGTGGGCAATTTTGGATTTCGGAGTATATTACATATTGGGTGACAGGGAGTACTAGATTAGGGATTATTCCACATTAAACTTCTTGAAAGAAGTGTGGGAAAATAATATGATATCCAGAACATTGCTAATTTCAGAAAAAATATGTTCCCATATTATGCAAAAGTCATACTACACAAAGAATTTTGGAGGAGATCCCTCTTGCAATTTCTTTTGCAACAAGAAAGCATGACCCTTCCTGCTCCATTAGGAAGAATCACATACTCCCAACAGCCTCTTGGAAGCATCAATTGGCTTGTGAATGAAATGTTTTCTTGTGCTTATGTTCACCATCAATCAAATGTGTCTGTTGTCATGCTCTCATGCACTCTTCTCCCTCTCACCTTCTGTTTCCTTCCCCCAGGCTAAAGCTGCCACTCACCGTGGAGGACATTTTCAAGTTTGGAGAATCTAACAGAGAATTATTCATTAAGTCAAACACTTACAGCACTATTCCTATCACTGTGATAGAAACTGGCCTTACAATAAGCTGGGTGTTTTCCTCAGAACCAAAGAGCATTTCATTCAGCGTCGTGTACCAGGAATCAGAAGAAGCGCCACTGGATCAAAGTAAAGTAAGATAACTGGGTCAAGGGGTTTTTATTTTTCTCTGCTGAACTAACTTTGGCATTGCTCTTAGCATTTTAAGAAACAAAATTCATTCAGATATGATGAATAGTCTTTTTCTTTGCTATCAAAGTCTCCAAAGTTCTTAGTAGGAAGGGATATTAGAGACAGCTATTATGTTGTATAAGTTATAGAGCTGCGCCATAAAACTTCATTGGGATTAGTATAGTGTCTAGTCGGTGGTTCCCAACCTTTCAGCCTCCAAGTATTTTGGATTTCAGTTCCTAACAGCTGGTAAACAGCTGAGTAGGATTTCTGGAAGTTGAAGTCCAAAACACCTGGAGGCCCAAAGGTTGGGAAGCACTGAATAGATCAAGGGAAGTCATGGTGCCTCTCTATTCTGTTTTGGTTAGACCTCACCTGGAATACTGTGTCCAGTTCTGGGCACCACAGTTCAAAAGAGATATTGACAAGCTGGAAGTTGTCCGGGGTGGGGGGGGGGAGAGCAAATAAAGTGATGAAAGGTTCAGAGACTATGCCCTATGAGGAGCATTTAAAAGAATTGGGCATGCAAAAGAAAAGGTTGAGAGGAGACCTGATCGCCATGTATAAATATATGAAAGGATGCTATAAGGAAAAGGGACCAGGTCTGTTTTCTGCTGCCCTGGAAACTAGGACTCGGAGCAGTGGGTTTAAATTACAGGAAAGGAGATTCCACCTGAACACTAGGAAGAACTTCCTGAATGTAAGAGCTATTCAGCAGTGGAACTCTCTGCCTTGGAGTGTGGTGGAAGCGCCTTCCTTGGATACTTTTAAATAGAGGCTGGATAGCCATCCGGCAGGAGTAATTTGATTGTGCTTTTCCTGCATGGCAGGGGGTTAGACTAGATGACCCATGTGGTCTCTTCCAACTCTGTGATTTTATTATTCTCACCCTTATTCAACCTGGACTATCTCAGAGGGCTGTAATTTGAGAGTAAAATATAGGATGAACTCCATATACATCTCTGTGACTCATTGAAGCTTATTATTATTATTATTATTATTATTATTATTATTATTATTATTATTTATATTCCGCTCTATCTCCCCAAAGAGACTCAGGGTGGATTCCAAACATAAAAGGCAAACTTTCAGTGCCCAAATACAACAACAATACATCCGTGCTAACAAAATTTAAACAACCCAACATATAAACACGAATTATGACGTTAACAACTAAAATTAAATAAAAAACACATCTGTTTTAACAGACATAAGACAAAACATGTAACATCGAATAGAAACAACAATTTCCTAGTTTCTTGGGGCAAACAGATTAATCATTGCTCAAGATATCTATTGAGCTGGTGGGGTGATCTTATGATCTTGTTTTATCCCATCACACTGCATTTTTTGCTATGCTAAATTTTCAAAAAACTGTCAATAGTGTGAGAGGTACCGTAGTTGTATTTTTCTGAAAATTGTCTCATCATCTTTGATTTTTTTAAAAAACATACACATTTTTTTTTAAAAAGCAGTGTTTCAGTTTCTCCTAATTAGTTGGAAAAACAATCTCCCCATGAGTTGCATTGAACAGTGTTTATGAGACCTCTGCTGGTGATTGCCTTCCACTGCATGAAAAGGAAGGACTGGAGGAATCTTCTTAAATTAAATGGTATTCAGAAGTAAAAAGCGAAAACACTAGATATGTCGAAGTCCTTGGAAATATTTGAAGAACCTCATTGCATCCTAGTTTTGTTTGTTACACTTGTTTTTGGCGTTCAATGCAATTCTGTGTTTATTTATTCAGAAAGCTTCACTCTATTCACTGAGTCTACCATGCAGGATCTCAGTTTCTACATTCCTGAGATTAAGTGGCATTGGGGTAGATCTGAAGAACCAGGAGATTTCCAAGTATTGATGAACTATTCATTCCCCACCTTGGTTAGGTTAGGAAAGGGCTATGCTGACTAAATCTGCATCTACAGTGTGGAATTAAAGCAGTTCGGCACCACTTTAACTGCCATGGCTCTTAGGATTTAGTGAGGCACCAGCACTCTTTGGCACAGAAGACTAAAGACCCTGTAAAACTCCAATTCTCAGGATTCCATAGCATTGAGCAATGGCAGTTAAAGTGGTATCAAACTGCATTATTTCTATAGTATAGGTGCATCTTTAATCTGATGGGAGATGCAATCCAGCAACATTTGAAGGGTCACATGTTGCTTCTTGCTAGATTAAAAAATAGGTTGCTTTGGTTCTGCAGATAGTGGCAATTATTTTATAGGAAGAAATGTATTCACACTTAGCTCTGCTGTATCTTTTGCAGGTTCTTATTCCTATGACTCGCTGCAACTCTCATAAGGAAACTATACGTGGGAAGGTGAAAGTCAGAAATCCTGGGATATACATCCTAATATTTGACAACACTTTCTCAAGGTTGGTGTATTTGGAGCGGGTGAGGAAGGAGGCCTAGATGCAAAACACAACAGGCTCAAGGAGCTGCCTTGATAAAAATTCCTAGTTTAACACTTGGCCACCCAACTATGAAATAAGTGACATTTTATCCCTTGTAGAATATTGTAGAATATCAAATAGACTTTTGTGTCTGAGTAGATGTTTAAAACCTATTCCTTCTGAAGCTTTAAATTCAGACATTGGATTCACATTTATTTTCTCTTTCACAAAAAGATTGTACATTAAAATTGTAACTCAGTCAGTATCTTAGTCTAAAGGAGAATGTGTTTTAAAAACCGAAGGATGCTGTCTTTGCTGGATGCCCTAAACACATTTTGACATTATTACTAACCTTCAAGTCAACTCCAATTTACAGTAACCCTATTGAAGGCATCCAATATTTTTTGTTGGTCATGGAGGTTCTGCATGCCAAGCTAGTTCCAGGTCCATCCTTGGTGGAGTTCACAGTTCTTTTAGTTTGCAGGTGAACTATACATCCCAGTACCCAGAACTCCTATAAATGATGGTGAATTCTCCCCAAACCTCCCTGGTATGTTCAGTTGCTGATTAATTCCTCTGCTGTGTGCCACAGAAAATAATCGGAAAGGGTTATGGGAGGTGCAGTGGGCAGGGTCATGCAAATTCCACACCAGTGGAGAGAGTAAGAAACACTGGGATGTCTGTGGTGGAGGGAAAACAGAAAATATAGAATGAAATTGTCCCTGTATGAAAGCCTTCACTTGGGTGGTGGGCAGTATGGTGTTTGTGGTGCTCACTATAACCTGCAATGTCATTGGAGGAAGGGCCTTTGGTGTCTCCTGAGTGTTTGTGACTATAGTTGTTTGTGGAGACAGGAGCCTGTCTGTGTAAGTGGACAGTCCAGCCACATACACACATACATATTTCCACTTTTGTTATGTGTAGAGATATGCAAATGATATTGTTTGAATGTTACTGCTCCTAATAGAGAGGAAGTCCTGTAATATAACAATTCAGTTGCGACTTTGATTTCAATGCAATCTATATGCAGCTCATTTGTTCAATGTTAATTTACTGCTTCAACTCAAGTGTTGTTTCCTCTCTTGTTGTTTCCCTACAGGTTTATCTCAAAGAAAGTATTTTTTCACTTAGCTGCTCAACGCCCAGTCATCTACGATGGAAGTGATTTTCCATAGCCTTGAATATGTGTAATATTTATATACTGTATTTTACCAAATTATATTTTTTAAAAACACTACTATTTATATATTCAAGAGAGCACTAAAATTACAGATGTGTCGGAAGCCCTCTTAGGGTTATGCAATAATTTTTTAAACCACTTAACATGAAGGCACTTATAAAAAAGAAGTTAATTTTTATAGGAACACTAATGATTCTGGACTGTGTGCCAATCATTTATAAGCCATTTTGTTTATCTGAAATAAACAAAAAATAGCTATGCATTGCTGCATTTGATGCACACAAAAAAGGCGCACAATCCAGATATACCTTTTCAAAGGGCTAAGAAATATGCAGTTTGCTTTTGATTTGCTGGGTTGGAAGTTGTATATAAAGACGTTAAAGTAGTATTGGTTCTGTGAAATGCTGCAAAAGGATGGAATTCAAATTCAGCTCTGCAAAATCAGAAGGTATTTTTAACAAGGTTCAGTCTAGACATGCTCCACATTTAGGAAGGTGACAGTTAAACTCCAGCCAATTTGCATCGCACAAGAGTTTTGCAGAGCGATTCTTCATGCCTTTCTGCTCCTCAAGCACATATATTGCTGTGTGATCACAACTAAACATTGCGTTAAAGTGGCTTTGGGTCAGGTTACATAGCTTCAAATATATATATCACAGCATACTAGTGTTTATTTGTTCTCAATGTGAAAATTCCCAGTTCTTGTCAGTTCCAATCCTTTGGATCCCATTGTGGGAGAAAAGTGAGACATAAATTGAATAAATAAATACATACATGTGAGGCAAAGCACAACTTGCTTGGCAAGTGAAACCTAAATGCTTGGTGTGCTGTAAAAACAACAGAATATTAGTATGGACCTTTATTGTTCTAATTTTATTTTATATTTTCACAATTTCATAATGTAGCAAACTGTATCCAATACTGGTGCCTCAATTGGCCCTGGTAGCAGAGTAATCTTAAAGTGTTTAATGTATTGTCCAAGGCTTTCATGGCCAGAATCACTGCGTTGTTGTAGGTTTTTTCGAGCTATATGGCCATATATGTCTCTAGAACATGGCCGTATAGCCTGAAAAAACCTACAACACACTTATAGTGTTTGTTTTTAGGATGGCCCCAATTTTTTGCTTTGAAGAGCTGCTCAGAATGAGGCCTAAATTTGACTAGTTCCAAAACTGGCAAATTGATGGCTGTTTGCACATCTCCTTTTTAGCCTAAAGACATGGTTTAATGAATGGGGTAAATTGACACTAAGTTGGTTCATGCAGCCTGTTTACTCCTCCCTTGGCAAAAATGGGTAAACAAACCAGAAAGAGAAAGCCTTACATAACAGCAAAACCTGGGATTAAGTCAAATGCATCCAGGCAAACCAGGATTCGCAAAGTCAGTTTTCAATTCTAACTTGTTTGTCGCAGTTGATCATACTTTCAAATTCGGACATGATGCAAAGCTTTTTTCTGGTTTGTTCATCTGCTCTGACCAAGCACGTGGAAATGAGCAGGTTCTGTGTATCACCCATTTCTCATTCATATCATGGTTTCCTAACAGCTACTTTAACAGACCGCTCGTTTAATTGTAAACACAAAATGTGTCTTTCTCTTAAATATTTTAATTCCGTGTGAATAAGGCAGTTTTACTCTTTAGAATGATTAAATTACAAGGTAAGCTATTTTTAAAACAAGATTTTCATAGGAATACTAATGATTCTGGACTGTGTGCCAATCATTGATAAGCCATTTTGTTTATCTAAACTAAACAAAAAAATATCTATGCAATGCTGCATGTGATGCAAATTTTCTACCAAGGAGACTGATCTATGATAGAGGAAGGAGAAAGATCCTTCTGTTCCTTTGATAAAAAGGTGCTACGTTGTGTGGGGAGTGGAAATTACAGTATGACTGAACTGCAACTCACTTTTTACCATTTATAATCCTTTTCACAGACAATGGAATTTCTTTGTATGCTTCATACCTCTACAGACTTATTCTAATCAAAGCTATGTGACATAGTTAGTTGCATGATATTGCCATGCATTATTATTATGCAGATTTTGGTGGTGGCTATACCAGCACAAGGCTCCTGTAATATACTGAATACTTGTATTCAGAGATGTATGGATTGACTGATACATTTAAGAAGATATTGCGGACTATAACATAGAGATCCCATCTGTGGTAGCTTCCAATTTGTGCATTTGCCACTGAATTATTTAATGGTGTTGTTATTGAAGTGCCAGAAGTGTCTTTTATTTTGAACTGAACTGCAATAAGAATTTCAACGTTAGAAGCTGAAACAGAGTTTTCCATGGAATGTGCAATAAATATCTAAAGGACTTTGGACTGAAATCCTCATAATATCATAGCTCTGACTTGCCAGTCGACGTTGCTGTGATTTGGGGTATGGATTTCTAATTTTGCAGAGGTGTGTGTGTTTCACAATTCAGGTTGATGCGAATTTTATCAATCCCAATTTATGGTTTTAAATATACATAGTTGAACAGGTGAACAGGATGCCTGGATCCTTTTATTTGTCTGTATTTTATCTTAAAGCTTTGATTTCATCTTATTTACTTTTTTAAAAGGGTTAGATCCAGAAAAGGATAATGCGGGATGCTTCTCTGGATCCAACACAAAGAATTGACTCTTTAAAAACTATAAACTACTATTAAATGGGAAGACTTATTAACTAGCCTTATTGTCAGAAATACAGTATCGCAGTTTTGGTCTCATGCTGTATCTGCATCCACAATTCTGACTGCATTATATTTCATTTTGCACACATAGCCATACCAATTTTATGTTCTCCCAGAACTAATCTGCTATTGCTTGAGAATTATATTTTTAAAAATCTTATACCATTATTAGTCACTTTCATTTTGATGACAGGAAATGGAAATAGTACCTGTAAGTGGTAGATCACTAAATTATATGTTCACAGTTATTATTACTAACAGGGTTTTTTTGAGGCAGGGGGAATCTACAATAAGGATATCATGCAAGGAGTTCTATTGTAACAGATTCTAGGATAAGTACAACAAGTATATTTCTGGAGTAGCCACAGAACTCAGTTTCTTCAGACCTGTTCCAGAATTACAGGAGAGGTGGGTAGCAGATGGCCTGGAACATGTTTGAGTTTTGCTGTGTCCAGCATCTCATGTGCCTGGATGTCTTGAGCGCATCAAGTTTTAGAGGTGCTACCTTTCTTTTTGGCATTTTTAAGGCTATGCAGTACAGTAAACAAGCTCTACTACAACTTGAGAACTAATATAGTGGTTTGAACATTGAATTAGGTCTCTGGAGAGCAGGATTTGATTCCCCATTCAGCCATGGAAATCTGTTGGGTGGATTTGGGTGAAACACACTCTCTGTCCTAAAAATTCCCATGATAGGGTCACTTTAGTGTCACCACGTGTCAGAGATGACTCGAAGCACCCAACAAACAGTACAATTTAGGGAAGGCTTTCAGGCTCTATTAGCGTCCCCTTCAAAAGACACTGAGGCTTCTGCTATTCTGAGTAACAATATCAGTCAGGCTCTGTAAGCTTCAAAAGACTGAGTAGGCAGCAATGCTGGAATCTTGAGATCACGAGGAGAAGCCCATTTGGAATTCTGCAGTTCATTTTCTCTAGAGTTTTGAAAGAGAACAATGAAGTCATTAACTGCACTATCGAAATCTGTTTAATGAAGCTATTAATTCTGTTTATTACTAGTCTGAACATATCCAAAGACAGAGTTTTGGCATATTGTTTTTCTCGAATTACTGCTTCCAAACTCTTCCAGCCAGAACGTGCTGGCTGGAGGATTCATACAACCAAGGTATGAAAAGTAACTTTTCTAGGATCTCTCCAAACTTTATAAACAAAGCAGAAAGTGAATAATACAACTAAAAATACAGAAGGAAGACTATCTCTCAAAAAACAATGCATTCCCAATGTTGTTACTATTATGTGCCTTCAAGCCACTTCTGAGTTATGGTGACTCTCAAGCAAACCTATCATGAGATTTCCTTGGTAAGATTTGTACACGAGAGGTAGAGGAAGGCAACCTCTTGTGTACAAATCTTGCCAAAGCAGAGTATATGTGACTTGCCTGAGGTCACCCAGCATGTTTCCATGGCCAAGCTGGGATTTAGTCCCTGATCTCCAGAGTTGTTGTCCTACCACTCATACCACTACATCATGCTGGCTCAGTATACAGAACAAAAAAAAATATTGTGAAACTCAAAGCTGATCAAATGCTGATGGTTCAGCATAGTTTATTTCATTGGTCTGAAGTTAGTCAATGATGAGTAGCATGTTGGCCCAATTACCAGATGTTTCAACTCCAGTGTAAAGCCTTAACAATATTTCAAAGCCATTATCTATTGGAGTACGTTATAAGGACAGGGCTCATCCCACTGCAGGGATGGGAGATGTGTTGCCACTGGAATACAACTCCCATCATCTTTCACAATTGGCTGGTTTGTGTGGACTCAATGGGACCTAGAGTCCAAGGGTATCTTGATGGCCACACATTCCCAGACATGTCATCATTTTCCAAATCCTGCTAATAATGAATCATATCTTGTCGATTCACATATTTCTTTAAATCTGTTGCTAGAAAAGGACAGAATCCTATGCAAACCATCAAGAAATAAGTCCCACTGAACAGAGTAGGGTCACTCTAGATGTATCTTATCCTTTCAGATATGTCCGTGTCTGAACAGAAGAGAGTTCCAGGCAGACAGGCAGAATTCTAGTTTTGAAATGGCGTTTTTTTTTCTGCATAAAGAATGTTACTTTGGTTTTCTTCTGTTTCCAAATTTGGTTAAGTTCTTTTCTAGTAGTTTCTACTGAAAGTTGGATTCACTAAGCTGAAAACTGTTGATATGCAAAAATAACAGTGATGAGCTTGATTTTTAAAAAGCAACACAACTTTGGAGTTGAACTTCTATTTTTTAGTTGGATCTCAGTTTGGTTTCATTAACCCTTTAAAAAGTTAGAAATTTTGCAACTGTCAAAATAGATTACCTGGTATAAAGATATAGAACTCCACCTGATCGAATGCAGAGGACATAATCACTCATGTATATGTTAAGTATGTACATTTGTATGGATGCAGATGGCTTTTGTACTGGAATATTTCTGGATGCTTTTATACTCAGGAACTAATTAAAAGTGTCTATCATTTAAAGTGACTGTATTGTTTTATTTTAAAAATGGAAACAAATTGTTCAATTGATTAGTTTGTAAGGTTTCTAGATCCTGAGTTTGAGGAGTGGAGCCCAAGTGGTAAAGGGTGGGACTTGCTGAGATGCAACAAGGGTTGGTGATGTTTGTTGGGCCAGAGGATATAACATGGCCAGCAAGTAGAATGATCTGATGCCAAAGGTTCAAATCCAGTAGAGCAGCAGCCTAGGACCTGAGCAAGGGGCAACAACTCAAATAAAAATAATTTGCACTCTTTTATGCTTTCATCTAAGTATCCCAAGATATGAGCCAAAATCCTCAAGAGAGTGGAAATGTGTAGCCTTAGTCACTTAGAAGGGTTCATGTGGCATGAGAGGTGTGTAGTATATGGCCTGGAAACACAGGAAACAGTGGTGAAGTCGAAATGGCCACAACACTATTGGTTACAGCTGGTAGAGCTCTGGGTGCAGCAAAGGGCATGGGTCCAAGCATTGGGTGATCTGCCTGCTCGCAATGGACTGCCACACCCAGCCATCACGGATCCATGAGTAGAAGTCACTGTGTATTTCCCACTGTCCCTATGGGCGAGGTAGAGGTGATGAACCTGCACAGAATTTCTCAACCCCCAAGATCCTTCAAGAAGATACCCAAAGTGGAGAAATGGGGTGCAAATCTTACTTTCCCCAAAGAATCCACCCTAAACACTGTGACAAGCATAACACCTTCGCCCAACAAAACCACAACCTCATTCCTACATACCTCCAGAACTTCTTCAAGTCAAGAAAAGGAGGATGAGAAAGATTGTCAAGGGAAGACGGCTGTGTCTTAGCTGGAGAGTCCTTATATGCTTCCATGGTAGGACCGAAGAGAAACCTCTGCTTCTCCGTCTCTGCTAGAGTGCTTCATCTCCAGCCAACCAAGTGCCAGTTGGCTGGCCATTCTACTTGTTTGTGAAAAATACATATTCTGTTGACAATCCAATGGTGCACTTTTGCTGGATGACATAGCTTCCACAGAAAGGGGCATCATCCCCTCCTTGTAAGTTCATCTACTACTAATAGTCAAAATGCTTGGCAGTTTCCCACTGGAAACAATGTTGATCACTGTAGAAGGTTGGAGTAGGAAAGAAAGTCCAACTTCCAGTGATATTGAATGCACTGTTGAATCTTGGCCACTTCTCTAATTCTTAATTGTTCAAGTATGGTCTAGCGAAGACTTCAGAAATTCTGCAGAGTTCTGATATCACATTTAAAGTGCATTATTTGAATTATGGAAGACCTGGGTCCTCTTAGGTAGTTTTCTTTGCTGAAAAACTTTTAAGGGGATGGAAGTCGTTGGTGAGTTACCATCCATCCCTACCCAATCAGTCCTTGAGACTTCATGCACTTTTCAGGGTTTGTGAGGCCTTTGCCTATTCATTCTCAATATCACTTAGAATCATAGAGTTGGAAAAGACCACAGGGGTCATCCAGTCCAACCTCCTGCCAAGCAGAAACACACACTCAAAGAACTCTTAACACAGGGATCCTCAAACTAAGGCCTTGGGGCCGGATACAGCCCTCGCTCAGGGTCAACCTAAGTCTGAAATGAAAGCACACAGCAGAAACAACAACAATCTGATCTCATCAGTCAAAACCAGGCCCACACTTTCCATTGAAATATTAATATGTTTATATTTGTTAAAATTGTTCTTCATTTTAATTATTGCATTGTTTTTCAGTGTTTTTTGCACTAGATCATTCATGTGGGTTTTTTTCCAAATTATAATCCGGCCCTCCAACAATTTGAGGGACTGTGACCTGGCCCTCTGTTTAAAAAGTTTGAGGACCCCTGTCTTAACAGATGGCCATCCAGCCTTTGCTTAAAAACCTCCAGAAAAGGAGACTTCAGCATGCTCCAGTGCTGCATATTCCTCTTAAGTGACAGGAAGTTCTTTGTAATGTTAAGGTGGAATCTCTTTTCCTGCAACTCAAATTCATTGCTCTGTGTCCTAGTTTCCAGAGCTGCAGAAAACAATTTTGCCCCTTTCTCAATGTAACATCCTTTCAAATATTTAAATGTGGCTATCATGGCTCCTCTTAGACATTTTCAGGTTAAACATACCCAGCTCCCGAAACTACTCATAGAGCTAGGCTTCCAAACCTTTGATCATTTTGGTCAGCCTTCTTTGGAGACCTTTCAGCTTATCAATATCTCTCTTGAATTGTGGTTCCAATACTGGTCACAGCATTCTAGCTGAGGTCTGACTAAAGCAGAATACAGTGGGACTGTAGATTCCCTCTATCTAGACACTGTACTTCTATTATGCAGTCTAGAATTGCATTGGATTTCTTAGTGATGAGAATTTTTTTAAGTGACTCATCTACCAATGATTAAAACATTCTCACCAATCTATAAGAAAATGTTCATTAGCCTCAGAAGCCTCAAGAAGCCAAATCATCTGCTTTTGTCTCTCTTTTAAGACAGAGATCTGGAGGTGAAGCAGTAATAATGAAAGTGGTTTGCAGAAGTCAGAGGGTTTTTTTAAGCATGTTTCAAGTTTTTCCCACGTAAATTGTCACATAAAGAATCATAATAAGGCTGAAATCTTTCCACAAAGTTCAAGAGAAGTTCATGGCCAGGGGATGGCCTTTCAAGTACATATGAATATATTTTTTGCCTAAATTTTAAGCATACCAAATGGCATAGAGAAAATTAGATTCCAGTTTCCCAAGGACAAGGCTATTTGACATCTGGATATCTTTGAGGCATGTACATTATGTCTTCTCAAAAAGCAGCAGCATCTAGGCATCTAGAAGACGTTTTCTTCATAAAAGGTGAGTTGGAAAGATAGAATGATGGAACTGATTACTGCTGTCTTTATTTTAAGTAGTTGGCATAAGCTCAGTCCTATAGAAACTGGTTAGATTTAAACAATTAATGCTGTGATCTTATGTCCATTTACCAACGAGTAAGCACTACTTCAGGTGAAATTCACCATATTTCTGTGTGGTTTGTATTGTATAAGGTTTGTATTGTATAATATAGGTTTGTATTGTATAATATTCACCTGGCTTAAAGCCCCATTGACTTGGATTAATTATGGGTAACTGGAGTCTAATAAAAACCAATTGATCTGGTCTAAGCATGATCCAGGGCTCATCTATACCACAAATCTGGGGCCAGTCCAGAAGCAGAAGAAGTATTCAGACACTCGGCCCCTGACCCACAGCCTGGTCCAGCCTAGCCAAAACCTATTCAACCCAGCAGACCTATCATCCTTACTTTTTCTGTCACCCTGTCACTATGGCTGATGGCTGCAGAGCTCTGGGGAGCTCCTGGCCCTTGGTGGGTACCTTGGCTAGCAACAGAAAATCAGGGGAAAAGGCATGACTGGTGATGGCCATGAGCTCTCACCAAGTGATTTTTTTTTTTTGTAATGTCAGGAGTGACTTGAGAAACTGGATGGGGGCAATATGTTCCTCATCCATCCTTTTTCCATGGAAATGGCACAGCCAGCCCTTGTGGACAGCAGACCAGTGCACATTGGAGCTGGTCTGCTGTTCACAAAATGCCCAAAATGCAGGTCTTCTCTGGAATATTGGCTGAGTTTGCTTAACACAGGGCCAAAACTGCCCAGCCTGTTTTATCCTATGTTAAGGCCCTGGACCTCCAAGAAAAACCTTTGGCCCAACTCGGGTTTTAGAGCTAAAATAGAAAAGTCCTCAGTCAAGATTCAGTGAAGTACTTTTATATGTAAGCATTCAGAATCATGGAAGGCCCTTTAATATGAATGTGCTTATTATTAGTCAATGATTATGTTGGTTCCCTTGAAGTACATTAAAGAGGCATTTGATCGGAAAGCAAAATGCTTGTCGAATTATTGTTTACTTGTCATGCAGCCCAGAATTGATAAAATGTTATTACAACCAATATTATTTATTAAAATATTTCAAAATCATGCAGAACAAAAATAAGAAAATTGTTACAAATTTGTAGCTACCACGGACGCAACGATTGATGAGACAACGGAATAATTTCTTAATACCTTATTTGAAATGGATTATATACGTAAGCACATGCATTTGCCCTTTTTTTTATTTTTCAGTGAGATTTCCTTGAAGTTTTCAAAATCTTTTGATGGCCATTTTTTCGACTGCAAAACCTATAGTATAGGTCAGGGGTCCTCAAACTAAGGCCCGGGGGCCAGATACGGCCCTCCAAGGTCATTTACCCGGCCCTCGTTCAGGGTCAACCTAAGACTGAAATGACTTGAAAGCACACAACAACAACAACAACAATCCTATCTCATCAGCCAAAAGCTGGCCCACACTTCTCACTGAAATATTAATAAGTTTATATTTGTTAAAAAATGTTCTTCCTTTTAATTATTGTATTGTTTTTAAGGGGGGTTTTTTTGCACTACAAATAAGATATATGCAGTGTGCATAGGAATTAATTCATTATTTTTTCAAATTTTAATCTGGCCCTCCAACAGTTTAAGGGATTGTGACCTGATCCTCTGTTTAAAAAGTTTGGGGACCCCTGGTATCGGTTATGAACCTACTACTATATTTTTCTGTGTCTTGGTTCGTTACAAAGCTGTATAGTATCACAATCACATTTTTTTTTCCTGGAGAAGTTGGGTTTTTTCAAAATCATTTTGCTTTTGAGAATTCTTGCCTTCATTTAAATTACTGTTTCAATTATATAATTGGGTACATTAGTAACATCAGGCTAGGAATGCTGAGGGATTGTGGGTGTTGCAGTCACCAAAAGGACTTTTTCCAATGTCTATATCAGACATGACACCACATAGTCTAAAAAGCCTAGTTTTGGGATCTTGATTTGCAGATATTTGGAAAACTAAATTTGGGACATGTCAGACACAAGACAACCAAGACACAGAAAAAATTAGATGGAAATTCAACCACTCATCCACTATAAAATGTACTGCTTTTTTACATTTTCAAAAAAGCTGTACCATCTGTACCTTGTGGGATGAGGATTGATTCTTGGGGTTGAAGCCCAGTGACAGCAAAAAAATGGGCATGCTAGAGAATCAACACGATTAATGTTTCTCTCTTGTGTGTGTGTGTATTGTTGGTCCAGTTGGCCAGGTATGTCCTGCAGCTGCAATCAAATTATTTTGACTTTTCATCCCTTTCCCACAACAAAATGCTGTTTGCTCCCAAATTCTGAGATGCAGAAGCAAACTCTATTTCATTTCCACTATTGTGTGGATGACGCAATTTAAAAGAATTTAAAATGTTAAATTGAACCAATACAGCATTTCCCTCTTTTTGAAATTAGTCTTGCCTAATGTTTTTCAAGGGGTTCTGCTTGTATTTTAGAATCGAATGACAGTTGCAGAGAAGAAGAAAAAGCTAATTTGGGGTGGTACAGCAGTTAGAAGGTCTATTATAACTGACAGAAACATTACTTGTGTGTTTCACAACTTACCTAATGCCCATGGCTTTTTAAAAGGGAGCACATATAAGATTATTTTGTGTCTACATCCCTACCATTTGAGTAGAACATATGCAGGTTTAAGATCATGTGAGAATATCTCATATATTAAACTCATTCCCTTGCTGCAAATCATTCTAAACTTTCCCATGTAAGGTTTTTATCTATATACTAGCCATCCCCTGCCATGCATTGCTGTGGGCCAGTCTGTGTATATGTGTTTTGTGTGTGTATATTTGCATATGTGTGTATATATATTTGTCTGTATGTATATATGTGTGTGTGTTTGTGTATATATGTGGTTTTGTGCATGAGTTGTAATGTATTTTTTGTTTTTTGGCTTTAAAGTCTCTTCTGCTGTGTTTTTCAGTGTTAGGAGTGATGGTGACTTGTTGGCCTGATAGGTGTATTGTGTCCAAATTTGGTGTCAATTCATCCAGTGGTTTTTGAGTTATGTTAATCCCACAAATGAACATTACATTTTTATTTATATAGATATATATCTCCACAACAGTTTCATTTGTTCCACACAAAAATGTGGTTGAAATGTTGCTCCTTTATTTTATATATTTCTTATTCTGTTCACAGTTAAATATTAATAATAAACTCTCAAAACAATGCACAGAAGAAAAATGTCAAATAGAGCCCTTGGCATTCCTGGCTTCTCTGGAATATGACAGAATTCAGCTTAGACTTAAGAGAAATTGAAGTAGCAATCCTATACCCATTCACCTTCAAATAAACCTGATTGAACTCATGTTTCAGCAAACAATTTTGTGACCTCATAACCTCTGAGGATGCCTGCTATAGATATAGGTGAAATGTCAGAAGAGAATGCTTCTGCAACATGGCCATACAGCCTGGAAAACTCACAGCAACCCAGTTTTGTGGCAGCTTAAATACTAGTGAGTTTTGTTTTTACCTTAAGCTTTCATGGACAATATACCTCTACCACCCAGATGAAGTTTTCAATCTTTTTTGGGCTTACTAAAACAGACTGGGACAGCCATTTTACTGCAATCATCACCATCCCTTATCTATAGAGTGTTTTATATATTGTATGTAATGTACACACACAAAACACACATGACACACACAGACACACATGTAACTCTAAACAAAAGCTCACAGAGATTTAAAAAACAAAAGGAGGGGAAATAGAAGTGTACAAATTGGAGAAAAAAGGAAACAAAAGACTAGAATGACACTTAAGTTCTAACATACTGATCTAAGAGTAAGTCCTATTAAATTCAATGGGACGTATTTTGGAGCAGATACATAGAGGGTTGTGAAATTAAGAAGTCCAATTTTTTTTTGTTGTGTCAGGAGCGACTTGAGAAACTGCAAGTCGCTTCTGGTGTGAGAGAATTGGCCGCCTGCAAGGACGTTGCCCAGGGGACACCTGGATGATTTGATGTTTTTATCATCCTTGTGAGAGGCTTCTCTCATGTCCCCGCATGAGGAGCTGGAGCTGATAGAGGGAGCTCATCCGCCTCTCCCCAGATTCAAACCTGCGACCTGTCGGTCTTCAGTCCTGCCGGCACAGGGGTTTAACCCACTGCGCCACCGGGGGCTCCAACAAGCCCAATAATTGAACTAAAATAGGATTAAATTGAAAATGTAGAAGCCAACTCTAAAAGAAATGTATATATTTTTAAAAATCTTTAAATGAAACAAAAGGCTACCAAAATCAAAGTGTCCTGTGGACAGATAAAGACGTCTCCAAAAGACTGGTTAAGAGTGAAGAATTTTAATATGGGGTTGTCATGAAAGAGTTTTTAATTTTTGTTTCCCCAAACAATGCACTGCTAGACCATTGAGAGTCATGTCCTTGGCTATCTGTGCGTTGTTCAAATGTCTTCATGCATTTCATGGTTTCGAAAAGGGTTTTGCGGAATCTCTGCCCGGCAAAAACGTAGAGGAAGGGGTTCAGGCAGCTGTGAAGAAAAGCTATGGACTGTGTTAGCTGGAATCCGATAGCAATGCGATCCAACGTTTTGCAGTCTTTTATGACTGGAGCATAAAGAACCATGGTTTTCACCATCAGAATGCTATTGTAAGGGACCTGAGAGAGAAGGAAAACTAAGATAATAATAGTAATAATCTTGAACGGTTTATGCTTGGGGGTCCTTTTTGTTCTAAGAAGTGTGTGGATTATACAGGTATAGCAGACAACTATCACAACAAGTGGAAGGAGAAATCCTATCGCAATTTTCAATGAGAGACCAGTGACTTTGATGCTTCTGTTAACAGTAGGGGGATAAATCATTTTGCAAACAGTGATATTACTAGACTGCTCGGTTTGACTATAGATTATTTCTGGGATGCACAGAGCAACTGCCACCAACCACACTCCAAAGCAAATCAGTTTGTGGTGCGTAAGCCTTTTTTGTCTTGAATGCCTAGCCCTCGTTGATCGAACGACAACAGTGTATCTGTCAAAACTGATGAGCATTAGGAATAACATGCAGCTGTACAAGTTGATCTTATACATGCTATTTACAGTTTTGCACATGAAAGTGCTAAAATACCATCCATCCTGAGCTGCGATTGCCCAAAAAGGAAGAGTGAAGAGAAAGAGAAGATCAGCAATTGCTAAATGGATCAGATATCTGTCAGTTAGGTTCTTCTTGCCCTTGTATCTCCAGTAGACCAGGACAACAAAGGCATTACCTATAGTTCCCACAAAGAACACGCACCAAAAAAAGGTTGGCAAGAAAGTTTTCGCTAGTAACTTGACCAGACTCATGTCACAGAAGAGATCCAAATGGCTAGAGGCATTTTTTTCTGACACTGAAGCATTTAGTCGAGGCCAGGTGCTTGGGACCATCTGCAAAACACCAACAAATCAAGATTACCCTCTAGAAACATTTGCAGAAGACGTGGTTTCTATCTTTCATAAACATAACAGGACAGGAGCTGCGGTAGCACAATGGGTTAAACCTTTGTGCCATCTGAACTGCTGATCTGAAGATTGGCAGTTCAAATCCGTGAGATGGGGTGACCTCCCGTCTGTTAGCTCCAGCTTCCCTTGCAAGGACATGAGAGAAACCTCCCACAGGATGGTAAAACGTTTGTGCATCCCCTGAGCAACATCCTTGCAGTCAGCCAATTCTCTCACACCAGAAGCGACTTGTACTTTCTCAAGTCACTTCTGACATGATTAAATAAATAAATAAACATAGCACACTTCCGAAAACTAGAACTGGAGAATTAAGTAATCTTCTCCTTGATCATAGAAGTAGATGCATTGATATGAGCATTGCACATGAATAAACTTACCTCATTACCTATTTTATCATCGATCTAATCCTTTTTAAAAAAAGAAATCAATACATTATTATGAAAAATGGCTGAGCTGTTGTAGTTTAGATGTTTTATACCAGGGGTGTCAAACTCATTTTCATGCAGGGCCACATCAGCCTTATGGTTGCCTTCAAGGGGGTGTTCTGAACCCAATTTTCCTGCTTCTTGGCAGGAGGTTGGAATGGATGACCCACGAGGTCTCTTCCAAATCTGATTCTATGATTCATTGAATCCATCGAAGAAGAATCCATGGATCCAGAGGGCCAGCTATATTTTTGCATAGTGGTCAGAGATTTTTAGTGGTCCCAGATGTGCTTGAACAGCAGCTCCCATTATTTTTGATTATCCACCATATGGACTGGGGATAATGAGAATTGCAACCCAACAGAACTTGTGGCTCTGAGGTTGGGGAAAGATTAACGGACAGACTTCATATCCTCAAGCCTTGTTTTTAAATTCAAGCCCCACCCTCCAGACTAAACTAAACAAGCTGCAGCCTTCCAGATTTTCCTGTATCACAAATCCCATCAGCTCTAGTCATGATGTCTAATGATGAGGAATACAGAAGTTGTAGCCCCACATCTGGAGGGTCACATAAATGACATGGCAAGCAGGATTTGACACATGTGGTTTACACTGAAGGGATGATCTTCCATCTTTCCAGTCACTGTGCCTTCAAAACATATCTCCATTTTCTCCTCCTAAGTATATTTACTATTTTAGTAAATTTGAGGTGTTTAATGTCTGTATATCTCCATTATTCTCCAGATAATGATCTGGAAGCTGAAACTAACCAATGCCTGTATGAATGATCAAGATCTACATGTTTATACTCACTGTGTTAGTCAGCTTCTTTTGACCTCAAGTCTTCTGTTAGTTGTGATGAACTTGCTGCAATTTTTCTGCAAAAAAGTATTATTTTTGCATAGTTATTTCAAATTAAACAATGTCTTAGATTTAACCCTGCTGCCTACCAGTGCACTTCCATTTATGTATGTATGTCACAGGGTCCTTTAGATATTTTTAGGACTTGAACTCTCAACCAACACAACCAGTAGTCAGAAACATTGTCAGGTGTAGTTCAGCAAAAAAATTATAAATATATATAAATATAGTAGTTATCATTTCTACAAACTAAACCCTAGGATCTGCAGTTTCATGAAACTGAAATACTATTGAAGTGCTCAGTCCATCACAAAGGGATGGATTTCTGAGAACAAAACAAAAAACACTAGCAAGATTCAACTAAAACAGCCTTGGGAAATAACACCAGGAGTTCATAAGCCCCACTTTAGAATGATTACTAGAAATTATAAATCTCCAGATTACTCTCTGTTGCAAATTAAATCCAAGCAGAGAAGAATTTTCAGCTTTTTATCAACTTCCACCATTATTCATTATTCTAAAACCCTCCGCAGCATAGTACAACATACAAGATAACAAGAGTTATTGCTTTCTCAAGAGATTTTGATTCCCACCACCCTAATTCTTTGAATTATTTTTCCAGGCTCTGTTAGATGAAAATTGACCATCCCAACCACACTTGTGTGCACTGTATATATTTTTACATACTTGATATTATGGATAATACTTCATGCATCTGAAGCTTATACTACGGTGAATTTGACAATCTTAAAAATAGCATAGACTTACACTTTACATCTACACTTGATGGCTTTTAAAAGAATATGCATGCAATGTTTGGCCTTTAACTCAAGAAAAGTATTAGAAGGTAACTGAAGCTATATCCACTCAGTTGTGAGTGAGCCCAAATTTGCGTAGAATTACACTATGAGTTATTAGAAAATAACTCTGCCTATGCTAATCTTTATCTAACTCTAGTAAGCATATACAAATAGCTGTTTTAAAAGTATTTTCCCACAACTCTATATTTTAGTCAATTTATTTTCACAAAAAGAAGTAAAACTTCAGAACAAATGTTTTGGGTTTTTTTCAAAATTACCGCTATGCATGAAGTAACTTGATTACTGGTTTGTTTTTGTGTGTGCTAAATAGTCAATGTCATCTGTTATTAATATGTTGATCCTCTTTATGTCTGAAATCTTATATTTCTTTATTTCAGGCTGCCCAGTTGCAATTCATAAACCACTTGAGCTGATATATTTGCACATTGATTTACTGCCATTCTTGTCAATAGCATTATAAAGTCATTCTACATATGGATAATTTGACACAAGCATTTAGGACTTACATACCAATCACATTTTCAATTATCAAGCCATTGGTGTCTATTTCAATCCATAACACAGAATGCTTTCCAGATTGGAGCTTTCTGTGATATAATTGTAGCATATTTTTAAATAGTACATCCAGTTCAAAATATATTGTCAACAGTACACTCTGCCTCATCAAACCAGACTACAATTTGGCTCGGATGAAAACGGATTTATTTTTATGATTGTGATGAGATGGCTGTAATTTCTCCACTGATTCTAGGATTGAAAACATTGTTTCACTCTTACTAATTCCAACTTGAAAAGTGAACATGAAGCACACTTGGATGTTAGCATTTTGCCTGGGTAAATTTCTGATAAGTTGGTGATCATAAATGGTTGGATTTTTTTGGGTTTTATTGCTGTACGTATTGCCTAGATGTAAAAACCCACCAAACATAGTGGGATTTGCTTTTTAATATGCTATTTAAAAACAGATAAAGAGGGAAGGTAAAGTGGTACTCATATTCCAGAGTGTTTATTTGATAAGGCTAAATCCAATTATTTGACCTAGTCAGAATGGGTCTAATAAATCAATGAGACTAATGCAGTGGTTCTCAACCTGTGGGTCTCCAAATGTTTTGGCCTCCAACTCCCAGAAATCCTAACAGCTGATAAACTGAATGGGATTTCTGGGAGTTGTAGGCCAAAACACCTGGGGGCCCACAGGTTGAGAACCACTGAACTAATGAGTCCAATAATCCCACTCTATGTGGGACTAATGTTTGGATTTACCCCATGGAAATCTTTCCTGCAGGTTCGGGTCTTAAAAGAACAATGGATAGAAAAATACAGAAAATCACATTTGAATATAGACAAAGCTACAAAGTGGTAGAAGATACTCACCAGTGAGTGATCTTAACAGGCTGTCCTGTACACTTTTGCTTTTGATGAAGAGTTTAATAAAAGTGTATAGTGGTCAGTTGTCCCTCAACGGCTCTTCAGTATAGGTCTGTGGCTGGTCCTTTTATCACTTACTTGGGTGGGTCACATTTTGAGTGTTGTGGTAAACCACAGCTCACAAGTTCCTGTTCTCTTCTTCATTTCAAGAGAGTGCCCCAGAACAGTTTATTCCATTTGAGTTTATAAATGCAAGAAATTGGGTACACCTGTAAAGTTGTTGTTGTTGTTCCTGCTGCTATGGTTAAACATTGCTTAAACCACCCAGGTTTCCCCAAAACCCAAAGTTATTTACATGTTAAGGTACAATCCAGTAAAACGTTTTTACAAACAATATTAAAACAGAAGTAACCTACCACCGACAATTTAAAACATAGTTAAAAATGATAAAAAGTAATTTATAAGAATAGAAAAACAGTAAGAATGGTGCATCATGTTATGCTTAAGCGGAATTTAGTCTGGTTCAATGCAAAAGGCACAATAACTTTGGACAAAGGCAAGAGGAAAAAGAACAGAAAACTTTATTCTTGTCAGCAGAGTCAAAAAACACAAACTTGCAGTGTTGCATACAAAATAAACAGTGCAACAAACTTACATAGTCCTTGTAAGAATTACAGAATGCAAAGAGCATGGCTTCTTCATCTTCCTTCAAATGAGCAGCGCAAATGGTTGAACAAAATGCTGTGAGTAAAAGCTCCTCAGAGCAAAAGCTGAACTGTATTCTAAAACACATACTGTTACACCCTACTGAGTGTGGCTCAAACTTACTAGCTGACCTAGATTAGCAGCTGCACATAATGGTTAACAGTATAAGGTCTTTTTTAACATACACACTTGGTGTTGATCCTTTTACAACTTCCTGTAACACATCACCCTCCTAACAATGTTTACTTTTCTTTTTAAAAAACCTATTTTCAAAAGCTTATCTGAAGATATATCGAGGACGATCCTTCTGTTAATAAATACAAACATCAATAACAAAGTGCAAAATGCTTGAGAAGAGTAGCTGGCGAATATCGAGCTCTTTTCAGACGTTTATGGGCTACACTTCCCATTAGCCACAATGATGGGTATTGGGAGTCATGGCACATGGCGTCTGGATAACCTTTTTTCCCCCATTCCAGCTTGGAGTCTTTACAAAGCCCTTTCATCAAACCAAAACCACCAGCAGGGATTTCACATAAAAACAGATAATGCGCCATGGTCATTTTATGTGACATGGATGGGGAAAGCTTCCATTAAATGCTTCCATACAATAAAATCTCTGACGTGAAGGCATGTTCCTGAGTTTCCAAGAGCTGCATGGCAATTAGGTGAGAATACCTTGCCAAGGTACAAATAACTGTCTCAAACTATACTGTTTCTCTGTGTTGTTGAAGGCTTTCATGGG